CCCCCCCCCCCCCCCTATTGAAAATAGTGAAATGAAATATATTTATATCATTAAAAACATTCCCCGCAGGAAACCATTTTACTTGTAAGCGCTGTGTACAGCATGTTAAAATAAGAAATCATCATCTTTTGTTATATAAATAATAATAAAGAGCGCAATATGTTTGTTTTAAATATATTAAAGTAAGCATGTTATAATAACACTAAATTTTTTTTTAAATAAATGTATATAAATATGTAACAACGACCATAACCTTTAAATGTTATAATAAATTTGTCGGATTAAATCCTTAATACTTTTACGAAAAATAAAAAAATAATTAACACAATTGTAAGCTAAGAGTGTAATATATATGTATGTAATTAATGCATTAACAGTTAGAGATCCTTAGTTATAGTTTACTGAACATGAACCGCCCCGTACCAACTGTCGAACATCGGGTCAATTGACTGTCATTTTTCAACGTCTCAGCGATTGACGTCACTACCTTCCTTGAAAATTCCTTCTTTCTACCGCCCATTTACTTGTTTTCCATTTCTCTATTACCCTTTCTTAATCATTTATGCTAATCAAAAACTATGCCGTGGCTTCCTGGAACTTTTCCCGTGTTAGCCATAATCATTTTTTTACGTACTAAACAGTTTGTCGCCTTATATTTGACAAACTTTTCTTATTGACCGATTTTCGAGACTTTCTGACGAAAAAGTTTTTAACGCAAGTATTTCTTTAACATGTGACGTTTAAATTGTAATTGCAAATATAAATATAGTTTGAATGAAGTCGTATTTTCTGACAACGTCAAGGATATAGCTCATGACGTTTTGGCATTTTTTTTTAAATCTAAATGTGCCATATTGTAAAATATATGCATCATATAGCGCCTGATGTCAGCGTAAATTTACGCACTGCGCCAGGTTTGTGTTACCATGGTTTTTTAAATTAGCTGTTACGGACAAGCTGTTTGAGTTATGATATTAGATATAGCATCAATTTACAGGTATTGTTTTCCGATTTAGTGTGATATATAACAATAAGTGACAGGTTGAAAATTCTCGAATTGACAGTCACAGTCCGGTTTATTTTTGATCATCCCTCGTACATACATAATAACCAAAAATGTGTGTGTGATATTTAATTTTTCTGCATGAAAGAAACTAAACTTCTTTGCATGTGTAATAAATAAAGAACAAATTGTAACAATCAAGACGTAGTTGTGAAATAAAAAATAACCACTAAGAAATAAAACGGCGGGGTCGCGGGACGAAAACACGTTAATTAATAAATAAAGCTTCGCCGCGCGCCCCCGCTAATTAGCGTGTTTTCGTCCCGCGACCACGCCAAGCGAAAAGTCGATATTTAACATTTTGGGGGCGCGCAGCGAAAACACGCTAATTAGCGAGGGTGCGGAGCGAGATTTAAGAAATAAAACGGCGGGATCGCAGGACGAAAACACGATAATTAGCGGGGCCGCTGGGCGAAGTTAAATGAATAAAACTTCGCCGCGCGCCCTCGCCAATAAGCGTGTTTTCGTTCCGCGACCCCACCAAGCGAAAAATCGATAATTATTATCATGTAAAAACGGTGGGGTCGCAAAGCGAAAACACGCTAATTAGCGGGGGCGCTAATTATCGTGTTTTCGCTCCGCGCACCCGCCGTTTTTTTTCTTAAATCTCCAGATCAGCCAAAATATAGTTTTTTTATGAAAGTTCGCCCCTTGCCCTCGCTAATTAGAGTGTTTTCGCTCCGCGCCCTTAATTTTCGACTTTTCGCTTGGCGGGGTCGCGGGCTAAAACACGAATGGCATAGTATTCCAAAGGTATGGAGTTCAAGAATCGCTCAGACTGCACACTTTTCTCAGCATGTGGCGTATTTCCACTATCTTTATACTGAAAATATTTCATAAACTTTAATGCACTTGACTGACCTCTTTAGCTAGTTGCAACCAAAGAAGGGCGTGCAAGTATATAAGTATATGGATGTTGACGATGATATGCATTTATAAAACCATCCAGTTTTCTAAAATTTGGTTTAGAGCATTATGTCTCCAGATTCATGCTATTTTTTATAATCAAATATTGGAAATTTACTTAAATGTAGAGTGAATAAAAATGTAATTTACACATTCCAAACGGCACTTGCAATCCACTTAAATTACAAAAAAAGAGGTCAACTTATGCAAAAATAGCCTCTTATTGCGTAAGTTAAGCAGTAAAAATCATATGGTGTTGAATAATGCAAAATCAGTCATTAATCACAAATAGCATGTAAATTATTAGTTGAATCAAGAATCGTTTTACTTTTCTTGAAATGGTAGTACATTTATCTCAAGTTTGACTTTTTTTTAAATGTTTTGGCTGACCTGGAGGCGTGCAGCTTTAACAATACCTTTCAGATTACTGACTTTCTCATATGATAAATTTAAAAAAGGTAATCCATTATTTGTTAACCGTACTTACGTATGCATTATTCTACCTAAACATTAAACTCAAAACCACGGAAGAATAGTTGAATTCAATTATGCCCTGGTAATGTTGATGGCAAATTCGGCTCATTTAGGCCAATGGTGAATCCGTGACCACTTACCAACGTTTAATTCACTTATTTAGGTTAACAATCAGTACTTTTTAATTTTGTTTGGCACTTTTGGCTTTATTTTTTACACGTCATAATATATTAAACTAAAACTTGACACTATTTGTACTAGTCAGGGGCGTAGCTGGTGAAGGTCGACCACTTGGGAAGTTTGGGGCACTCGCCTGAAGGAAAAAAAACTGCAGTGGTATGGTCAGAGGTGTGTTTTGTCTTTTTCGCATTATATCAAAGGTGAATAAATTGCGTATGGAATGGAACAGTATTTGGCAAGAAAAAAAAACGAAAACGAAAAAACAACAAATGCAACTTTTGTACAATATTTATTTCGTAAAAATGACAACATATTTTTTCCATTATTATCAAAAGGTAAGACAAATATTGAGTTGTATATTTACTCTTAAAGATTTTTTTTTAAAATTGGAAACATCCTTACACCAATTTGAACAATTTTAAATGAGTTCGGCTTCTTGTATCTCACATGTCTTCTCATAACATTATTGCATAAACAAAGTATTAAGAAATCTATGTACCGTTCATGGTTTGTTTTGAATACAAAAACTAAATCTCCCAAAACTTTCAATATTAAAATTTTTAGAAGCATCGCTCGAATGATTAGTTTACCTGCAAATGCAATTTTACAAATACTAATTAATGCTATTGGAAACATTTAGAAAAATAACAGGTTCATGAATAATTCTGATATTGCTATAGACAAATGCTGCAAATAGTACATAGTTATTTCTAATGCTAAACTGAATGTGTTTCATTTATCGCCTTACTGATACATAATGTTACAAACAAAAATAAATACATAAATAAATGAATAAATAAATAGATAAATAAATATAAAAAAATAATGAACACCAATAAGTAAAACACTTAGCAATACATAATATTGTAATTTTATTAAGTTAAATTACATTTAGGAACATAATTAAAATGTGGTCTGTTCTTCTGTAAAAATGCTAACTTTTGATAATACGATAAAAAAATGTGACAAGGGTAGAACCAAATTTGTCTTTATAAGATTCTAGAATATTCAATTGGATACAATTTGTTAAGAACAGAAAATAAAATATGAAATATCTCTCAGTGTCTTGTAGCACAGACTTCTTTCAGACTGCAAATCCTGTAATGACGTACTCAAAAGGACTTGAAAAAAATTACAAAACTTGCAGCTATAAGTAGAAGTCAATAAACAGTCATTTTTCTATTTGTTTTTAAAATTCAAACTGATTACTAAAAAGTTCAACAAAAAACAACAACAACATTAACAACAACAACATTAACAACAATAACGACAACAACATTAACAACAATAACGACAACAACAGCAACAACAACAACAACAACAACAAACAACAACATCAACGACAACAACAACAACGACAACGACAATAATAATAATAATAATAATAATAATAATAAAAACAACAACAAAAACAACAAACAAACAAACAAACAAAAAACAACAAGAAAAACAAAACCATCTATATAAGTCAAAACATCTAAAATATAACATGAATAAGGATTACATCTATTACTCCAAGTGGCTCTTAAATATAACAATATGATTCTCATTAGAAAAGGGAAACATTTTTAATTGCTCTAAAATTTTTACAAATAGCAAACAAAAGTAATAAAAAGTATTATATGTCAAACGTATTTTCCCAGCATTGTCATCATCTTACTAACATGTCATTAATGACAACAGCAACGTTAAAGCTCAGTACACTGTTGCATAATTTCAGTAAATATTCAATTTAACACATTTTTGTAGAACATAAAATAAAATATGAAATTTCTCAGAGTGCCTTCTAGCACCGACTTCTTTCAGACTGCGAATCCTGTAATGCATGACTCAAAAGGACTTGAAAAAATTAAAAAGCTTGCAGCTACAAGTAGAAGTCAATAAACAGTCATTTTTCTATTTGTTTTTAAAGCTGAAACTGATTACTAAAAGTACCAACAACAACAACAACAACAATAATAACGACGACGACAACAACAACAACAACAACAATAACAATAATAATAATAATAATAATAATAATAATAATAATAATAAACAAAAACAAAAACAAAAAAACAACTTCAAGAATAACAAAATCATCTATATAAGTCAAAACATCTAAAATATAACATGAAGTCAAAACATCTAAAATATAACATGAATTAGGATTACATCTATTACTCCAAGAATCTCTTAAAATACAGAAATATGTTTCTCATTAGAAAACTGAAAAGATTAATTGCTCTAAATTTTTTACAGATAGCAAACAAAAAAAACTTTTATTAAAAAATGTTATATGTCAAACGTATTTTCTCAGTATTGTCTGCACTAACTTAAAATGCAAATTTTTGATAATACGAGGAAACGACAATGTGACAAGGGTAGAACCATAAAGATTCTAGAATATTCAATTTGATAAAGTTTGTTTAGAACAGAAGATAAAATATGAATTTTCTCACAATGCCTTCCAGCACCGATTTTTTTCAGTCTGCAAATCCTGTAATGAAATACTCAAAAGGACTTGAAAAATTGCAAAGTTTGCAGCTATAAGTGAAGTCAATAAACAGTCATTTCTATTTCTGTTAAAGTTCAAACTAATTACTAAAACATCTAGAATATAACATGAATTAGGATTACATCTATTACTCCAAATATCTATTAAAATACACCACCAACACATTAATTTTTAGTTATAGCTCAGTACACAAAATACATTTGTGACAAAATTTCAGTAAATATTCAATTTAACACATTTTTTAGCTCAATGATGATGAAAACTTTAATCTTATTTGAAGCATATTTGGGTCCACTTTTTGAAAGTTACCAGTTCTGTATATGAGGAAACCAGTATATGAGGAAACATGGTTAATTATGACACGAGTATGGCTAAAACCCATGGTTCCGAACGCAAAACCTTGAAAGCTGCATGCATGCCTCCTGATGAGCCAAAATAGTTCAATAAAATTAAACCTGAGAATAATGTACTTGGATTTTATGAAAAGGGGAAAAAATCAAGATTTAAGTAATAATTTACATGTTACTAACGCAGTGAAAGCTATTTTTGAATATTTTGACTACATTTTGGTAATTTAAATGGGTCGTGAGTGCTGTTTGTAATGTGTAAATCGCTTCCTTTTGGTTACTTCACAACATTTTAATTTTAAATACTTTTCAACCTTTTTATATGAATATTAGCATGATATTCTGGAGGCATGCTGCTTTAACACCAGGTCACCGCTCTCCTCACAAAATAGTAATGAAAAATTTTGCAAATAACTGTGCTAACACAATTTGACACGATTAAAGACAAATATGTTTGAAATATTAGAATCTATGTAAACAACATTGACACATTTATGACAACATTTAATATACAGAATTAGTTTAAAAAAATATCATAATCAATCATTTAAAGAATGTTGGTCACAACTTTTAATAAAAACACTAAAAAATAACAACAAAATGGACAACGTGAAGATACTTAATGGCAATTTTTATAAAAGCGGGCATGTAACACATGTTTAGTTCAACATCACTGTTTCTTCCTTAGTTGTGATACATGTTCAATAAGTAAATACACCTGTCCAGTATAATTGGCAAATGAATGTCCAAAAATAGTGGAACACGCTTTTTAATAAATAAATGAATTAAAGAATAACAACAACACCAACACCAACAATAATACAAAAACAACAACAACAAAAACAACAACATGAAATAGTATGGACTTGGTCCTATATGAAATATGGTCTTGGACATATATGTATAAAGATGTTTAAGGCAATTACAGTTAAACGATAAAAGTGTCACTTTAATTTCAAAATTAATCATAAAGTAAAAAATAACACGTTAAAAGGGACAAGCTTCATATTTGTACTACGATTTTGCATATAATTTATAGTACTAGTTTATTAATACTTAACGCTGTAAACTTAAAGACATTGATTTTGTTTCTTATGCTTTGTGTATCACACCTTCGCAAGTCTCGTTTGAAGTGACATTATGCTCATTTCTTTTCATTGTTAAGTGATACGTTCAATGAACGCCACTCTTCCTTGTTGATCTTGTTTTTTTTTATATATTTTGCTGGTTTGACAATATATTTAAAAATTGAGACCAACTGTTGATAATTGAAAATATTATAAGGATATAATAGAGTTATAAAGCTGCATAAAGTATAAAATGTCCCTCGTATTTCTATAAATTGAACGTTAAAGGTAGATACCAATAAATATTGTTATAGTGATGTAATTTCCATGTCAGCTTTTTTTCATTCATTGCAAAGGTGAAAGGAATTTTGGCAAAATGCAAACTTACTCGATTTTCAATAGTTCACTAACAATATACACTTACCCAAGAATCGACATAAAGTTATAAAAGTTATAAAAACCAAACATCATTTTTGATTCAGGAGGAAGTACCTAAACGGTAAAGATTACACGATCTGTCATTCATTTTCACATACATGTAGTCTATAGTATAAACAGATTGCAATTTTGATTTGTTTAGCTGTTCTTTCTTTTTTTTCCTACTACTTCACGCCATTTTTACATTTTAGAATAAGTTTTCGAAGAAGGTTTCCATATTGGCGGATATTTTCCTGATGTGCTTTTTCGTCGGCAGTTAACGAGACTTTTGCATCGATTACAACAATTGGTTTGTTCATCTATATAAAAAAGTAGTCAAATTTACTAATTAAAATATCGTGAAAGTGTTTTGCGTAAGAAACTTAGGAAATCCCTACGATGTGTACGACATCTTAAAATACCAAATATGTCACATTTATAATATAAAAACAAATGAAACGCTTTGAATATTATATGTTTTTGTTTAATTACTGAACATTTTATATCGTTGACAAGTATTTAAAAAACGGATAGGAGTAATTATTCTTGAAACTACACAATATGTCTATAACATCTAATTGACGAAATTGACTTAGCTAAATTTATATATCTTTTGTAAGTGTTATATTAATGTATAAGATAATGTAAGATAAATACCTTTGTTTTATCATATTTAATGTAAATGTTTGTCTCACATATCTTGTCTATTGCAATAAAAGACTCGTGTAATAGACGCAGATAATCGACAAGTTGTTTGGAAATGGTTGTAACAAAGTTGAGAGACAAACAGCTGTCGTCATAAAGTATTTCTTGAATACTGCGAGTCATTCCTTTTGGTACAAGTTCTCGTTTCATCCGCACAGATCTGCTGAATGTCTGGTATTCTAGAATGGCGGAGCCAATTTCTACAGAAAAGGGACAAGTAATATTAAACTGTACAGAAATGTTACTGGTTTATGACAGAAATCAAATTACTTTTATAATTTTAGCGTCTAAAAGCTAGCGCATTATATTTGACTGGCTATCATGATTGCAAACAATTTGAAAGGATTCATATTAACATAACAGTTATGAATGTAAAAATATAAGATCGATGTCATTAAAAGGATTAACAATTGATATTTCGAAACCTGTACAGGCACCATGGTTTCGTTAAAGTGCAAAACGTCACTCCTTTTGAAAGTTGAATCACACGCAGCATGTTGAATGCAAATTTTTGTATGCTTTTTAACGGAATAAGATTATATTTGGTTATAAAATAGAATGTATTGGTATTAAAATAATTTCTAACCGCCTACAGTATGATACACTTGAAATATTTAATATTTTTTATTTAACTTCATTATACACATGATCAATAATTACACGTAGAAAAAATAAACCTATTTCAAACAAACATTTAACACCGCGATTTACTAACGGACAGACAATCCCTTAAATGCTATTTAGAGAGTGATGCAAAAAATAGTTGCTTTAATTAAATATAACGTAATATTTTGTTAAAATAAGAATAATCTAACTGGAGCTTGTAAGAGTTGTTTACCTTTCTGCACCAACGTTCTACTCTGCTCATCGAGACTTGGATTAAAACTCTAAAATGAAACAAGGAAAAACATAAACGGATTGCAAATAGATTATAACGTAACTACAAAAAAAATCTTGGTAACGGCACTAAAATGTATTTAATGTGCTCTTTATGTATTTAAGATAATCAGCTTTCATATGATTTTATACCTTCTTCCCGATTATTGCTGTCACTGTATATAAAAACGGGTTGAGGGCAGAGTTAATAGGTAATATGAAAACGGCTGACCATGCATAAACATCACTTGAAATCGAAAATCCATTCAATGCTAAAATACCTGAAAGAGAGATGAGAGTAATGTTGATATTGTTGTATTTATTTTTAATGGGACATGTATATTAGATTTATGAATATAAAATTATATGTTTGGAAAAAAAGGAGTTAAAATGATTCAAAAGATTTGTTTTCTACCAAAAAAGTAGAACAGACACAAATGCTCTTAATAATATATTTTTGCATAATATGTCCTACATAAATCTTGTTGAGGCTAGATTTGGGTAATGGAAATTCATTCGATTTATCGTGATGCAAAACTTACAAGAAAAATTAATGTCAATCTAAGATTTGTACGAGACCTTACCCATCACACCTATTGGAAACCAACATAGGAAGTCAGTTGTTGCAACGAGAATAAGATTTCTAGCAACTCTTAAATCACGTTTTCTGGACTTCTCTGTCTTCTTCATAACTGATGTGGATCGTCGAAGTTCTGTAAATATTGAAACTTGTCCTATGGCAACAAGAATAAAAGTGCAGAAATTAAGTCCAACAAAGATTGACACAGAATATACCCATCCTGGAGGTTTATCTCGTGTTAAAGGCAATGCAATACAAACTCCTGTTTTAGAGTAGAATTTGTTTTGAAAATGACTAGTGTACAGAACTGGAATGATCGATAAGGTTATGGAAATAAGCCAGCACATTCCGCTACAGATATACGCCTTCATAGGTCCAAACCTGACTCTGCCGAAGGGAAACTTGATTACTAAGAGTCGGTCTAATGTGATCAAGCAAAGAAAGAAAACGCTTGCTTCAGACGAAAGTGTCGACAAAACCCCGGCTGTGACACACCATTTACTGTTTCTCCATTGATCATCCATAAAAATATATCTGAAAATAAATGGTACAAAAATAATGACCAATGAAAAATAAGAGATATTTGTATTTGAGATACATTATTATCACTTCTCTTAGAGTTAATAAAATCGATTTCAGCTTATTTTAATCCAATATTTCCATACAGAAGCAAAGCTTATTGTTAGTTATTAACACCACACGATTATGTTTTAGTCATAGGACATTCTTTAACACAACCCTCTATTTAAAACGATAAAAATTGAAGAAAATTAAAAAGACAAGTATTATTTTTATCTGTATATAATCTAATGTAGCAAATGGTCAGTTTTAAAAAAGTATGTTTGGTAAAGCAGACATATAGAAACATTCAGTTTGAAAAGTGCAAATCAGCATTTATGAAATAATAATACCTATGTAATAGTTACAATAATGATATCACAAATGATATCACAGACTGTTAAAGCAGTTTTATTTAATATTTTTTGTTGGTGTTAGTTTATTTTTGATAAAAAAATGTATATGAATAGTTTTTATAACTAGTGTTTCTGAAAAACAAGAATTGGCATTTTGAAAAATATAAAGGGCTTTAATGTAAAAATGACAGTTGAATGAAAAGGTTGAAATTTAGTACAATGTTTAGGAGAGTGAAGATCGCAATTTGTTTAAGTAGTCTAAGACTACTGTCAAAAGACACCGTTTATGCATGAATAATTTACAAATCACTTCCTGTTTCTATAGAGTAAATTAATATGTTATAAATCAGTACCTGATTCAATAGTGTGAATTAGATTAAAATCAGTACAGCCCTGTTTTTTAGAATGAGTCAGTTATTAATCTATACCTGCTTATGAAGAAATAAACCAGTATACGTATTTCTGTAGAATGAATCAGTTAAACATAATAAAAGTCTGTGTCGGTGTAGTGAAGCAGTTACAAATCTGTACCTGTTTCTATAAAGTGAATCAGCAACAGCTATCATGATCAGGTATACCCCCATCAGAAAATCTGCAACTGCAAGATTAGTTACAAATATGCCATAACCAATCTTAAGCCTTTCACGATCGTAGACAAGACGGTAGATGATTGACGATATGTTTCCACACAAAGAAGATACACCAACTAGCCAGAGAACTGCTTGGAGGACAGAATTTCTCATCAGATCTTCACACGAGGAAAATTCATTCTTCAATGGTTTGCAATCTTTTTCAGGCAAATAACAAGGACGGATACAACAGAATTTAAATGCAGGTGTACGAAGCTCACGAAGTGATAAAACGCCGTTGAACATAAACTTTCCGAATTTTATCACATTGTTGCCTTCAAAATTTATCTTACCAACAATAGAATTGTTGAAGGCATAATCTTCAATATCTTCAATTTTGTTGTGGGAAATATCTAAACTGTCCAACTGTAAGCCAGAGAACGTTAGTGAGATAATCTTTTTTAGCTTTGTGCCTGAAATTTTTAAACTTCTTACTGATTCTAAATTTTTAAAAGCAGTCGATGAAATGCGAGTCAATTCCGTGTTCCTATCAAGATTCAAGTGTGTTAGATTACGAAGATTACTAAATATCATATGACGTAACCGTTGTATTCTATTGTTGCTAAGATCTAATGATATTAAATTGTGCAAATGATAGAAAGCCTTTCTATGCATATTATCAATGTCACACGACGAAATATTAAGTCGTAACATATAGGGAAAGTTTAACTGATCTTTGCGTATTTCTTTTATTTCCAGATTTTTACTTAAATCAGCACTCATAGCCTGTGTTGTCAATGATGAAATATCAGCCATAGATATGTTGGCCGCCCTACAATTGATTACATAGCCGATACAATTGCATTTCGGAGGGCACACAGTCTTACAAAGACGTTCGTCGTCCCCATTTCTGCAATGGATGACACCATCACAGACTTGTTGAAGTGGTATACATTGCTTACTAGACAAACATCTGTACTTTCCAGCACATGGAACGTATGAAGCCTCTAAAACGTAAGTGAATCATTATAAATATATATAGCACAAAAGCATAAGTAATGATAACATCATTATAGTAGCATAACAATGTTTGATAAAGTTGTTACAGAAATGATAATATTTTAGAATCAAACACGACGAAAATGAGATGTTATACGACACAAATACTGTGAAATAATTTACATTAGCTGTTATGAAATATTGCGCAAATGACATTAAAAAGTTCACGCGGTTTTAAATTTGCGCATGGCACGATGGTGAAAACGCGATGACACGATGGTGAAAACCCGATGGTACGATGGTTAAAACGCGATGGTATGATGGTGAAAGCACGATGACATGATAGTGAAAACGCGATGTTACGATGGTGAAAGCGCAATGGTACGATGGTGGAAGCGCGATGACATGATGGTGAAATCGCGATGGCACGATGATGAAAACCCGATGGTAAGATGGTTAAAACGCGATGGTACGATGGTGAAAATGCGATGGTACGATGATGAAAGCACGATGGCACGATAATGAAAGTGCGATGGTACGATGGTGAAAGCGCGATGGTACGATAGTCAAAGCGTGATGACACGATCGTGAAATCGCGATTGCACGATGGTGAAAACGCGAAAGTCAGATGGTGAAAACGCGATGGTACGATTGTAAAATTGCTATGGTACAATGATGAAAACACGAAGGCGCGATGGTACGATAGTGAAAACGCGATGGTGCGATAGTGAAATCGCGATGGTACGATGGTGAAAACGCGATGTAACATGGTACGGTGGTGAAAACGCGATGTAATATCTAGTTTTTACCATCGTGCTATCGCGCCATCGCGATTTCACAATCGTACCATGGTGTTTTCACCATCGTTCCATCGCGTTTTCACCATCGTACCATCGTACAGACGAAATGAATAATCACGATTTTCCAAACGGAACACCGTATAAAACATACAGAAAAGAGGAGAGGAAATTCTAACCAGGTCATCTATATAATAACATTGGTTTTCAAGTTAAAAGAATCGATATTTTCTTTTAAAGCCTTTTGTGACATATGTGCAGCTGGACATTTCGTTCGAAGCTGAAATTGTTATTGATGCAGGAGTTTTAGACTATTTGAATAAATGCAAGAAATGATTGCGCATTAAAAATATATGTTATTCTTACATAGTATCATTGATTACTGCAGATAATTTATTCACCAATAAGTTTATTAAAATCTCCTTCACTCACCTGTACATATTTCTGGAAATCGTCGGAATCCAGTCAAAAATAGAGTACTCCATTTACTGATGTGTATATCCTTAGCAACTTTGTATTTGTTATCATTATACACAGAAGAGTTGTAATCTTTAATCACTCGATATATTAGAAACCCTGTCTCTGAAATATTGGACAATACTAAGCTTGAGACGATCGATGATTCGTTACTATTCTCAAGAATAATAATCGCTTTGTTTTTTGTTTTGGAAAACTGCAGTTTTGTCACAGTGTAAACTTTACTGTTATATCTAAAGGCAGTTACAGTCATTTAAGACAAAAACGTCATTGGTGCAATCATTTATTTTTAGCTTATTCAGTCAAGGCAGTCAAGTTAATGTTATGAAAAACATTAGACAGGATTTGTAAGTAATTGTTTTATCATTTTCAATATTATGAATGTCCTTTTATTATCATACTGTAGCAACGGGTAATAGGTGTAAAACCACCTGTTCTCCGCATTTGTCTTACATTATTAAAAGAAGGGCAACATTATCTCAAAATTCACCCGTCACAAAAGCTTTTGTCAGAGATGTGGGAATGATAGATATGCATATAGGAGATATGCTCTGGGCAATGTCCGGACAATATCTGGATATTTTATCATCTCTAGTGACATTGACCTTGCAAATATTAACCCTAATTGACAATTGTCACATTTGTAGTCATGATAGTTATAATGTGTGATACAATCCATCAAAAAATGATGACTAAATAGTCCCCGTACACAAACTTTGACCACTCTATGTGACCTTGAATTTGGTAGCAGGGACCTGGATTATGTGCTTTTCGCAATGCTTAGTTCTACAAAGTCATGAAAATGACCATTTGTGTTTCAATAATCCCTCAATAAATGATGACTAAATGGTCCGAATACACATTTTTATATTTCTGTCTGAACTTTGACCCTGTGTGACATTGACATTGACCTTGGCTGCAGGGACCAAAATAGTTATAAAGAAATCCCTCTATGCACGTAGAAGTTTTGCTCTGGACAAGCGTTTTTCAGTGACCTTTAAGTGTGACCTTGACCTTAAACCTAGTGACCAGCGACAAAGCGTTTCATAGTTGTAACAAATTCTATGAAGTTTCATTAAAATTCATATATGTGTATAAGATATATGCTCCGGACAAAAATTGTAAGCCGCTCACCAAGCTGCCCCCCGCCCGCCACGGAGAAACTATAATACGACCCGTTTTTCAAAAGCGGGTATAATACGGTATCTGACGTAAAACTATGAATACTTCTCGTATAAACTTCCTATACAGACTTTTTAATAAATGCTAATTTCTGACAGAAATGCTGTAAAACCTGTGACAAAACAAACGAAACAAAATAAGAAATGACAAAAGAAAAAAGAGCTTTAAATCAAATACTGCAATTTTGTTCGTCTTCTCCTCCAGGACATTCAGTATGTCCATCGCAAAGAAATCTTTGCTCAATACAATAACTTCCAGGACATTTGACTGTATTTTCAGGACAATTGATTTTTTCTGAAATTCAAATACTATATTAGAATCTTGAGAAATTAATTTTAAACAATACATTTTGATAGTTCACTTTGATGCATTTACGGTCACAGAGTAGTGACATATTGATGTCATATAGCGACTGTTTAGCCTAACTGTGGATGAAAACCTTAGTGGCTCCCCCAGAATGCAGACTGAAGCAGACAACCAAAAACGTAGCACAACCTGCATTTCATTAGCCATTTGGAAAGCCTCAGTGCATGAACATGATACAACATACCATTTTGTTTGAGGGAGGGTTAAATAACTGAAATATAGTATTGTGATTATAATATTATTATCTTTGTAACATGACATTATTAAAACTATTGATATAATATCATAATGTAACTATCGAAAACATAATTTGTAATTAAGAAATTAAATAAACCCGATGACTATGCTTTATATAACACGTACTTGTTTTTAATATTTCAAGAATAATTGTCCAGCTATTGTCTTCTATGAAAGCTCATTGTCTAATTATTTATTGAGATGTTGCTGATAATATCAAGCGCAAGAACAGTGTTTGTTCAATAAGTTTAAGATTGTTTTCATTTCTATGTCAGATAGCATACTTATAATCAGATAAATATTTTTATTACCACAATTTTGTAAATGGTCTCCAGATCTACATCCTGTCATGTACCCGCTATTATCTACAGCATAAATGCATCTCATCGACTTTGGTATGATTTTTCCATCTCTCTTACAATGAAAGAAGTCACCAAATTCAGTCATATTGTACCCTTTAATAAAATATAACAATGGAATACATGGCTTTTCATAAACAAAACTGTTATAATTACTCAATTATAGAAGACACCTAGCTCTCTTGTAAAACTTCACAAGCGGTTTAAATCGTTATTTTTTTGCTTTCGCCGTATGTAACAGAATATGATATTAATCACAAAACACCCTTTCCTTGTCTTGCTCACGTGCCCTCCTTCCTTTTGTTTGTTGACCTGGAAGGTGTCTTAACGATGATCCTGTGTGGCTCGTCATTGTTGGGTACTGCGTTTTCTGAACATCGCTCTCCTTGACATATACTTATCTTAGCATTATACATGCAACTAAATTTATCACAACACGACTACAGTTCAAATGCTACATTAAGACGATGTTTTGTATATAAAATCACGCTGCATATAACATTTTACAAAAGACAGCTAGAGTTTTAGCAGCGTAAATCTTAAATGAAACTTACACGAACATTGCCTAATAACGAAAAATTGGTTGATTAATATCGTTTCAAAAAAGAACTGAAATGTAGGTATATTTTCCTTCTAACATCAAACATGCAAGTGCGACAGAAAGGGAAACCTTATGTGTAAACCACTATATTATATTTGAGAACTCTAAAGGAAGTTTACCATAAGTGCAATAAGCAGGTGCATTTGTATCGTCCAATAAATCACTTGGCGGGGGAACATACACGTCATTACCCGAATCTGATTGAAGATAAATACTTTCCTCAACGACATGTATTTCTGTCATTTGACTTCCGTCGCATCTTGTTACCGAAACCAAATCATATCTGCAAATTTGAATGTGTTAACATCAAACATTCTTCTTTTTTATGCAATACGGCTTATGATTTTTCTATACTTTATTTTAGTTTACAGTATATTAGAAATTGTCTTAAGATCATTAATACATAGTACAATCATACTTAATATTTCTCTAATGATAAAGAGGTGTGCTAGCATATTGGCACTTCCAGTTTAATTTTAGACCTATATCTAAATGATATAAGTTGGAGATGTACATTTACGTTCGCAAAAATCTATTATTCGCGAAAACAGCAAAATTTATTTTTCGATAACATTTCAAATTATACAGTTTACTTCTTTTGCCACCAACTATTTACAAGAGACGAGCGAGCTTAAGACAAGTTTAAGATACTGTTTTGTACAGGGAATATCATAACAATAAAAACCCACTCTGAAAGTGAAAATGACAGCATTACCAAATGTCGTAAACTCTAATAATTTATTAACAATTGACTGACAATTTTACAAAATATATGTTAACAATACACTGGAAACATACTTATAATGCTTGAAAAGCTCAAAAATCCATTCTCATCATTAACGTACATTGCATCTATATTTGATGAAAAAACTTAAAACGCTAGTTGTCTTTTAATGTTTTCGTGTAAAATAAAATATAGTTAACACATACCTGCCCACAATTGACCCTACTTTATATCTGACTGTACCTAGTATGCAGTAACAAAACTCATATTCGAAATCATTGAAGAGATCAAGATCTGCATCATGAAAATGGGATCCACACTCTATCTGTACCTAAACAAAAATTAACACCTTCATCCACTTGCATACCTATATATTATATATAATGATTTTGACAACGATTTTCTTATTTTATTTATACAAAAAGTAAGTCATTTGAATTTTACATTTGATATATACGGTAAAAATAAATCATCAATAGTTAACTAAATAGCTTATTTATTTTATTTCCTATGAGAACAGTTTATATCGAAGAAGTGGGAAGCGAGAATTATTCTCCTGCAACACGCACTTTATCGAGGAAATATAAATAATGGTCTGATATTGTTATATTTAATGTACGTATTAGGCGCAATACAACTTCAAAATAATAACAGGCACACACTTTTATAAATACGAGATAATTTTGTTATTGGGTTGACTTTTGATTCATTATTTAGATCAGTTCACATACCCGTGCAGTTTTTGGGACTCTGTATTTAACAGCCATGCCTGTATTTTGACGAGGCGTCATTTGCTTCATAAGGCAAAGAGTAAAACGCACTATTTGATAATATTACACTATATGAGTGTAGCTTTATTACTACATTGAACTTGTTGATATTTAGATTATATAATGTCATTCAACTTGTTCAATAAATCCAGTATTAGATCGACATGTATCCCATATAGGTTTAATCTATATACATGTAATTATTGGATATGATGTTTTATCTGCTGGCTAAGCCTAAAATGATAAGCTCTAGCCATCAGAACAGAGCCAGGTGAGCCTGTATTACAGTATGACCTAAATTTATTGAGTACCGCTCAAGCCTGTGCTAGGGGGCGTGAGGGATGTTGCACCTATTCATTATCCCTCATGTACAGACTCAATAAAACCGAGTCTGCAATTCTCTTGTAATTTTGTTGTGATTAATGCTTCCGAGGGATCACTTTGTTTCCATATTTTTATACTTCACAACAGCAGGTGTCAAGTGCTGTGTGGCAGCTGTAAAAAAGTTGCCCCGTACTTCACTTCAGTGTTGTTATATTTTTCTGGTCCTTTGGGATCATTGATGCCAGCACTATTAAGTGTTGAGAATTGAGTACCGCTCAAGCCGGTGCTAAGGGGCGTGAGGGATGTTGCACTTATTCATTATCCCTCATGTACAGACTCAATAAAACCGAGTCTGCAATTCTCTTGTAATTTTGTTGTGATTAATGCTTCCGAGGGATCACTTTGTTTCCAGATTTTTATACTTCACAACAGCAGGTGTCAAGTGCTGTGTGGCAGCTGTAAAAAGTTGCCCCGTACTTCACTTCAGTGTTGTTATATTTTTCTGGTCCTTCGGGATCATTGATGCCAGCACTATTAAGTGTTGAGAATTGAGTACCGCTCAAGCCGGTGCTAGGGGGCGTGAGGGATGTTGCACCTATTCATTATCCCTCATGTACAGACTCAATAAAACCGAGTCTGTTTCCAGATTTTTATACTTCACAACAGCAGGTGTCAAGTGCTGTGTGGCAGCTGTAAAAAGTTGCCCCGTACTTCACTTCAGTGTTGTTATATTTTTCTGGTCCTTCGGGATCATTGATGCCAGCACTATTAAGTGTTGAGAATTGAGTACCGCTCAAGCCGGTGCTAGGGGGCGTGAGGGATGTTGCACCTATTCATTATCCCTCATGTACAGACTCAATCAAACCGAGTCTGCAATTCTCTTGTAATTTTGTTGTGATTAATGCTTCCGAGGGATCACTTTGTTTCCAGATTTTTATACTTCACAACAGCAGGTGTCAAGTGCTGTGTGGCAGCTGTAAAAAGTTGCCCCGTACTTCACTTCAGTGTTGTTATATTTTTCTGGTCCTTCGGGATCATTGATGCCAGCACTATTAAGTGTTGAGAATTGAGTACCGCTCAAGTCGGTGCTAAGGGGCGTGAGGGATGTTGCACCTATTCATTATCCCTCATGTACAGACTCAATAGAACCGAGTCTGCAATTCTCTTGTAATTTTGTTGTGATTAATGCTTCCGAGGGATCACTTTGTTTCCAGATTTTTATACTGTTAGTAATTCATTGATTTTGGAAATCTCTTAAAGTTCGGATGAATTTTCAAACTTTTATTATATACATTTATCGGCTTAAGGATTTTGAAACTCATCAATACATTGCTCGAAGGTCCCCGACAGATATGTGTGAAACTAGTTAGTAAAAAAAACATTCAATATTAAGGATATCTCGTTGAATAGAAATAGCGAATAAAGTGCTCGTTAAAGTGCACCACTTGGATTTCCAACGTGACGAGGTGGACGGATTACCGTTAATTTAGGCATATTTATTTGGATGTACTGAGGTATTGATTTTGATGACAATCATTGCCCGCAGACCATAAACTACTTACTTATATGCAACGAACGGCCTTAATACTTTTAAAACTAATTTTCATAAATGCTTTTAAAGATGAGGCTCAATATTAAGACTAGATACGTTTTCTGGAAAAGATAGCCATGTTTTTTTCAGATCAATAGAAGTTAAAAAGAACAAGAAAAAGAAATTTTTTTTTTTAGCAATTGTTCAAACATTTCCCTTAACAATGCATCGTGTGATAAAATTATGCACATACATTTATATGTTAAAAGCAGACCTTACCTGAGTAAAACAAGAATAATAAATGCTATAATCAATGATGACTTCTCGTTGCGGATTAAACACTTCGTGTTTTGCAAAAGACGTGCATCCAGATATGCTTTCTTTCGATGAATTCCCCCAGAAATCCCAGTTCCAATAACACAACCCTAACAAAACATTGTATGTTAGACATATATTTTCAACTAGGGGTCGTTTTTTATTCTTCTAAAAAGTTATACTGTTTAAATAAACCGCACTGAATTACCACGCCCAAAACATGTAGCATCACTCAATGAAAATAGTCTTTAAAAGAAAAACAACAAAAGAACAAGATGAAACATTTTGCTATACTTTCTTTTAACTAAAATGTCTCAAAGACTGTTTCAGGCTTCACTATCAAGTTATCCCGTTTATTTTGCATTGCTTTGTAAATTTCACATTGATCATAACATGCTATAATCTCGTCTATGAACAAAATGTTACATACCGCCGATTAACAATTATTAATCAATATAAATAAATATAAAGTGTAATAATATAATTAACAAAGATAGGGCCAACTTCAGATATCTTGACACATTTTTAACGGTCATAGCATTTTTTTTTAGTAAATGTGTCTTTTGATCAGTCTTCTTTCCAGTAAGTATTGAATGTTAAATTTATTGAATTAAAAGAGAAGGAATATTGACAAAAATGAAATTTAAATTTTGATATTGGTCTTAACTTGGTCCCTATCCGTTGTGTCTTGTCAACTCCCAGTTGCGTTACAGTATACGAAAAAAAAAAAATCAATTAAAAATAAAACAAACAAAAAAAAAAAAAAAAAAAAAAAAACAACAAACAAACAACAAAACAAATAATAGACTTGCATCATGAAGTTTCAATATACAGATAAAAATCCACTTTTATAACTATATTGTATAAAAATGTCGCTTACCTGTAAAAGTGTGCAAAGACCATAGATAGTCATTACCAGTGAAGACATTTGAAGTTGGGGGATTAACATGACAATGTCGTTCATCACTCGCATCTTTACAATCAGGGTAGCGATCACATGTCAGTCGTAGAGGGATACATTTGTAATCATCAGCACAGAGAAATGAGTGTTTACAGGAGTCTTGATTTGTATAGATAAAAACGACATTATGATATCTAGCATTTGTTGCAATTCGGATTAGAATATCCGTGCCGAGGGGATCCGCCCATTGGGCAGTAACGAGGCTTGCCGAGATCTCCAGCACATGACCATATTTAAATAAGTCAATTCTTATTTAAAATTGATTTGTTTAATATTAATTTTATGTAAAATGATATTGTTTGTAATATATTTATGATGCCTATCTTTTTTCATGTCCATGTTTACATGTATATTTTATATTAGACTGAATAAATATATCTAGCAAAGAACCCGATTTTGTTGACTTATCCTGAGACCATAGAAGCGAAGGTGCTTAGACATGTCTCTCATTTCTGAACTTGATTTATTATATAATGCAATATCTTAATTATACAAACCACAATTTATTTCATCACTATAATCGAAACAGTCGGATACAGCATTGCATCTCTTCTCTTCAGAAATACACTGCTTATTTTCACAAGTAAACTCATTTACTTTGCACGCTTGGAAATCTAAAATGATCGATCGTAAATGGTTTCATTAGGTTTGAATTATGTGCTTAACTGAGAAGTTTGACGAATAAAATTGCCTAGTATATTGAACATCAAGTCAAAGTCCAAATATGGTAATAACTTGACTATTTGTCTGACAAACTCTATCGTCCCTAGATAATTTTTTATCCCTAAGCTTGATAATCAAATATATGTTTTGACATTCATTTTTCGTAATTTGAATAGTTTCGTGACGTAGAAATAACGCTGTGAATTAACTGCCCTCACAGTAACTATGTTTGATGAAAATAAAATGTCGGCAAATCACTCTAGGTGAATCGTGTTTATTTTTTAAATATAAAAACCTGTCCTCACTATCTATTCGTTAAAAGTATATAAACCGCTAATAATGGTCCAAATCCCTTCATAGACTTTGGATTATATTGTGTTAGTTGGCTTTCCCACTAGTTGAGGGAATCTCGACAGGAGTTTGAGCAAGTGCCAGCTTGAGGCGTCCAAGGCCTTCTTTCGTTATAGAGTATAGATGATTAATAGTAAAAAATTGAAATATCAAAGCTCGGTCAACACAGAGGAAATTGATTATCTATTATCGATCGGTCAAAACTGAGAAAACTGAATAGGTATTAAAGATCAGTCAACATGGCGAATAATGAAAATACATCATCGGTCAACACGGAGGAATTAAAGATCGGTCAACAAAGTGGAAACTGAATATCTTTCGAAGATCTGTAAACACAATGTAAAAATTCAATCTAGATATCCATTAAAGATCGGTCAACACGGACGAAACTTAGTATTTATTTAAGATCGGTCAACGTAGAGGAAACTGAATATCTTATAAAGATCTGTTATCATGAGTAGATTAGTCACACGTTTACTAATATCAAATTAGGCAAAAAATGATATATCAACGAAGATCGGTCACACGAAGGAAACTGAACATCTATTAAGGATCCGTCAAAATGAAGAAATATGAACATCTATTAATGATCGGTCAACATGAAAGAAACTGATTATTTACTAAGATCGGTCAACATGGAGGAATATCAATTAAAGATCGAAGACGAAACTGAATTACCTATTAAAGATCGGTCAAAATGGAGGTAAGTTCTGTCAACACGATGGGTGTAGCTTAATATCTATCAAAGATCTGTCAACACGGAGGAAACTGAATATCGATTAAAATGGTCAACATTGAAGAAATTGAAGATCTTTAATCATGGACGAAACTGAATATCTATAGAAGATCGGCCAACAAAGAGGAAACTGAATATCTTTTTAAGATTGGTCAACATGGGGGAAACTGAATATCTATTAAAGATCGGTCGCAATGGAGGAAACTGAATATCTATTAAAGATCGGTCAAAATGGAGGAAATTTAATATCTATTAAGAGTCGGTCAATACGGATGAAACTGAATACATATTAAAGATTGGTCAACACGGACGAAACTTGGTATATATTAAAGATCGGTCAACATATAGGAAAAGATGGAGGAAACTTCATATCTATTAAAGATTTGTCAATCGGTCGAAACTTAACATCTATTAAATATTGGTAAACATGGTGGAAACGGAATATCTATTAAAGATCTGAAAATAAAGAGGAAAGTGAATATGTATTAAAAATTGGTCAACATGAAGGAAACTGAATATCTGTTAAATATAGATCAACATAGAAGAAACAGAATATCTATAAAAGATCGGTCAACATGGATGATACTGAACACCTAATAAAGATCGGTCAACATGAGGGGAATTGAGGATCTATTATATTTATTATCTTACCACAAAATTCATCTGTTCCGTCCGCGCAGTCGGATATCAAGTCACAAACTTGACTTAATTGTATACAATGTCCGCCATCACACGAGAATTCGTTTTCATCACATTCTATACTCATATTGTACAAGTTTATGTTAAAATACATTAAATATGAACCAAGTATGTCTTTCATAAGGACACGGTTATCACGACACAGTGAAACAAAGTAACAAAATGTACATGCTTACATGCTTTCTTATGATTAACGAAATCATTATTTAATTATGTTTAAATAACTTCCTAAACAAATATACAGATATACAAAATGTACTTAATATACTTATCAACACAACCAACACAGCAAAAATATGCTTATTGAAGATATTTACTTGTACATTGTATTTAAACACATTAGAAAATGTTAAATGAGAACAACTTTTCGAAATTCAAAAAAAAAAAATATATATATAAAAAATGAGTAGTAGATTTCAAGTTTCAGTTAACAAGACAAAATACCTATATTGCTATGCAAACAACCGGATTCGTCGGAAGCATCAAGACAATCGATGACGTCATCACAATTTGCTAAAAGCGATATCTGCTCTCTGCTATTTTTACAGGTAAAGTATGTCCCGTTTTTTAGACGTTGAGTTAAATTAGAGTTCGTCATGGTATTCACGAGATTGTGATCTAAGTACAAAGTAGATTCCAAATTAAAAAAAAAAATATAAATCTGCCTAAAATATAGAAAGACTGTCCCACTCTTTATATAAACTTGGCATTATAGGTAAATTCTAATAGACATTTACAGAAATTTTATTTATAGGTTCATCATTCATTGTTTATATGAAGTAAATTATTAAATTTTTAAAATAATTATGGCAAAATGAAAACTTATTTTGATATTCACCTGTTCACTCACTACTTACCCTTGGCTGGACATAATGTCACTTTAACAAGAAAGCACATGTTAATGTTTGTGGTTAAATTTATTGTTATTCAAATCAAAGGTCAAAGCAAGGATTTATCAGTATCATATCGATCGCTAAAACAATTGTGATCACACTTAAATAAATTACAAACGAATGTATGAAATCATTGAATCTGACCATGATGTAAACGGTAGAAACTTATTTATCACTAAGGGTTTCCGCATACGAATCTTTAAAAAGACATTGCCACTTCAAAAACTGATTAACACCCTGTTAAGAACAATATAACTATTTTACATAAAACAAAATATGTACAAACCTTTGATATTATTCTGGCATGACAATTCATCCGAATAGTCTAAACAGTCAAAATTTCTATCACACCAATTTATTAAAGGTATTGAAGATCCGTCAGAGCAATTTACTTCAGGCATTCTCTTCCAAAACACAGGTTTTTTGTCATTGTCTGAATCGAATTTGCTTTCTATTTAAAGGTACGTGGAAAACAGAAAAAACATGTAGTTATCTTGTATGCACAGAAGTCGTTTTGAATAATATTTAAGGGATTTTAGATGGTCGTCGATAAAATTGAAATAACTTAATAATGTTATATAATTTCATATTTCCTAACATTACATTAAAACATTTTTTTGTTGCTATATATACGAGTATTATAATTCGTTGAAACGAAATGACATCTTGTTAAAGATAATGCACATTTCGTCAAAACAAATACATATTTTTCTTGAATCTCAATTTCTTTTTTCATATGTTTAATTAACAACTTACGATGCAAAAAGCATGGTTCCCGTATAAATTCGCCAGGATCATTAACATAGCACCATGAAATACCCTGCCCAAAATTCTCGCACACATTGGAATTTTCTAACGAGATACGTATGGAGGAAAACATCTTGTCAAAATCATTTTTAGCATTGTTAGATAGGTTTTGCCAATTTTGACAAGATCTCCCGGAGTATGGTAAAGCATTGTGGTCTTCCTTTTTAGGTAGACTTTTACACTTTTCTTCCTTGATATCGGCTAGAAAGCATTTTATATAGTATTCAGTAAACAGTACAAAGATATATAATTGTTTCTGTGCCTTGTGTTCAGAAAAAAGTAATAATATTAAAGGATGATACAAGTATTACTATTTTTTGCATGATAGTACTGAATGTAAATAGAGAAAAACTATAGTTAGCCCTAAATAACGTCTAAAACGGCAAAACCGACAATAATTCGGGCTCGGTTTGATCGAGTCTCTTCATGGACATTAAAGATCGTTTTGTTACAGCGAAGCTTATATTTGTATCAAACAGTTATATAAAATTGAAAAGTTATGTAGAAAACGTATGTTTCGGACAAACAAACTTTGAAGGGCAGACGGACTGACAGACAGAGAAACTTATTGCAGTATTTTCCTTACGACTTAATTGTGTGTTATAATAAATGTTGATAAATACAAATAAATAAAAAAAAAAGCTTTGTGTTTATACCGTCCACTGGATAGGGTTTCTCACATACAAAAAAATCGACATTATTATAACAATCTTCGGTCTCCCAAAGTTCCTCGGTGTTAAAGTACTCAAATGACATGCGAGTACAATCCAAATTTAAAGGGTTGTCCCGTTTTGTTCACAGATTCCGTAACATCTTTAATTATGTTTAACAAAAGGCATAAACAGCACCACAAAATATACAACACACAAAGTGAAGAATGGTTTTACGTTATATGTGGGGTTTTTGCTATTTCGTGATAAACAAAAGTGTGTCAAGTTGGTGAAAAGCTTTTACGAAGACAATAACACTTTCAACCACTGTTTAATTAAGTTCTTTTCTCCTTGACTGTATCTGAAAATGTATGCATAGTTTTAAAAATCATGGACACATTAATAAAATAGACCGTTCCCTTCCTAAATATAAAACTGCTTCATTGGTAGTTTAACGAATGTATAACAACTAAATTTACAAACATTATTATTTCAATTAAGTTACTATTATTTGCAACTGTATTCATACTGATATTTTATCAATTACTAACTTAAACTAGATTTATATCATTTACCCCTTTAAGTAAGTAATATAATGTTTCATTTCTAGAGAAGTTAACTGATATCAAAATATTACTTTAAAGGCCAATCATGCCTCGGAAATGCTATAATTTAAATTGTCAAAAACTGTTTAATTTCTGTATCCTGGTACAGTGTCCATAAAGTACATATTTTCCATATAGATGAACAATTTTGCATTCTTTTGGAAATTTTCTGTTCGAAAATGGCTTATGATGAATTAGTGTTTTGTATGGGAGTCAATTTGCTACCTTGTTTACATTTTGCTATCTTTATGTCACATTATTGCATGTTTAACGCTACTTTCTTTAACAGGTTTCCTTACTAAATTATATAAACATTATCTAACACAGGTTTGGCATTTCTAACGCATAAAAAGATAATGTAATTCTGAGGCAAAAGATATTTTTAAACAAATTCACGTTTCAAGTTAGCTCGATAGCGAGTAATCGGAAACATTCACTGTCGGTAATTACATTTTGTTGTATTGAGCATCTACATTTTTAGATATTCTATACTTTTAACTATGACAATGATACATTACCAAGCACTGTATGTAACATTGAAGCTATTCATCCAGATAAATTCTGTCCTTCTCTGTTTGTCCTTTAAACGCTTCAAACCTTAAGGAATCAAAACAGTTATACAGAGGCAACACTAATATATATATGTTGATATTTCTATCTCCGAACACGAGATCAATATTTTGTTTGTAGCATCTCGAGTCATATTTAATTATTTTTTTGCAATTTGAAACTAATGTATTCGTTTCTTGTTTTCTCTTATCTAATCCATGCAAACGAAAATCATTGATCTCTGTTACTCCTATCCTTTGTACTAATGAATTGAAATAATATTCTAATAAATTGTTCTATTGAAAGATGTGGATATACGTTCAAAAACATTTTGAAACAGGCATTACTAACATAAGTGACTTACATGATAATATATTACAAAGACTGTATCCTCACATTACCTATTTTCAACTGTTACCTCTTTTCGAGGGTGTCGTAATGATCAATTAATTTGCAATACAATGCAATATTTCTTTTTTAGTCTAGGTTACATATAATGAAACAACAGACAATTTACAAATGATACCATTTTTAAACATAAGTTCGTGTATTTAACAATTTGTGATATATTAGACATGCAAAATATATTTCAAGAACAAGGTGTCTGATTTTATGAAAAGATTGACTAAATAGGGGAACAGTGTAAAACTGAACATTTTTGCCTGCACAAAAATATATTATATTTAGAATAATAATACAATTCTATATTTCCAACAAATAATAAGTACTTTATAGCTGTTAAATGCTAAAAAAAATTGAGACATTACAATAAAGCTAAACAGTATCTATTAGTGCTTAATCATCTCTATCGTCATCGGTTAAATAAATGTATATAAACATAGACACGATTTACTCGCTTTTTAGTTAATTTTGTGTTGCACGTTTATTTTGTAGTAATCATGTAAGTCTAAGAATTTCATTTATCAAGGTGTGAATTTAGTCGGTAACGTTGATCAATCAGAGTTAAGTATTATATCTGGCGAATTGTGATGACAAGATATATAGTTTAATAAAAAAGAAAGCAGCTTACTTTTCAAAATATATGAATATATGTGAATGTTCATACCGAATTAGTGTTGTTGTCTGAATAAATATATGTAGTGACATGACAACCTTTCAAAGGAATTCACTTAGGTCCTTAAGCCTAAAAGCATGACATTTGAAAACCATATAAAGTCAATTGGGGCACTTAAAATGGACACATATGAAATAAAAATGATAAAATATACACATAATTATATATAAAAATGGATATTTATTGCAATTATTAACCTGATTTGACTTAACTTTAACAGTGGCACGCCTTAAATATATGTCTCGCCCACAAGGACACATCTATAATGAACGGAAAGGACAATGAGGGTGTCACAAGAGCTAGAGATATAAACTTAGACGTTGTTTTGGTAACCAAGAAAGAAATAACAAAGACATGTTACCAATATGTGCTGTATGAACATTTCGTTTATCAGCTCCATCTTCTGACGTCTCCATTTGCTGGTATAATGCACTACGAAGTAAGTACTGGACGTAATTCATTTCCTTTTTTGATAATATAGTCACAAGATACTCGTTGCGCTTACGACATGTAGTGTTTGCAATATTCCATGATACCTCTTCAGATAACACAGTGTAGCATTTCCGGAAAAGTCTCGAACAAACTTAAATTCAAAAATATGTTTGACAGTTTGTTTAGAAATTTTAACCCGCTATTCTATTCATAAGTACTTCTTCTGCGATTCTTCACAAATATCCATAGTTATTGGACGAAAATATACATTAACAAACTTTACATTTCACTATTTAAACAAACGTAAGATTTTGCGCGCGTTTATCATTTTAATAATCTTTTAATTCTTAGTCTTCCCTATTCAATGTCCGTTTATATACAATTTTTAATTACAGATTAACAATATTTTGTTTTATAGGGTTTTAAATATCGCTTTATACTTAAATACATGTTTATCGTTGAACATACCGGATGATTCAACTCCTTTTATCTCAGACGTATATCTTTGAAGAGAATGGTCTGAAAATTTATACTGTATTCGAAATCCTCTTATTTCATTCTCGGATGGGTCAACCCAAGAATAAATATGGATCATTGAACCTTTTGATTTGTAAATCTCTGGTGGTTCCCGTACAGAACAAATTTCGATCTTTCCAACAACATCTTCAATTGTGAATTTTGACTGGAAACTGGCTAATTAAAGGCAATAAACAGATTTATCAAAATCATAACATGAGTGGAACATGTGGAAAAGAATGATAAGCTCTGCTCATGGAAAAAACGAAAAAGTACAAGCGTTTGAATGCAAATTGATATGAATAACACTAGCCTAGCTACAGTGTATAGCCAAAAGCCAAACCATCTTAACATAAAGTTCATTTATTATCAACTTCAAAATAAATCCCCATTTAAAATACAATTGTAGTTTATATGACTAAATCAACCGCCTATATAGTTCTGGCGATATCCTTCCAGGATCTACCGTTTGGGTATTTCGAATAAAATAGTTTTTGAGTTAACTTTAAATCCCATCTATGCCGAGCATTAGTTTAAGGGTAAAATGCTTCTGCCAGTGATAGAACTTTTTTCTATAATACCTGCATAGCCAGTAGACTGATGATACGAGTTCGAATTTTTCATCATAACGGATAGATAGTTTTGAAAATTTCTCTACACTTGAATTTACTTACAGTGGAAAAGTTCGTCATAACATGGCATGTAGAAATACATGAAATTAATATATATGCTCTGATGTTTTCCTGCTTGAATTGTGAACTCTTCTTTCAAATCTTGATTAAGGTTCAAAATAGACAACGATGTAAGGACCATAGATGGTTGACTGCAAAGTTCTTGCCTTCTTTCAGAATGTCCAATTAAATCGATTGACAAGCAAGCTGGAGTTTCTAAAATGTTAAACATATATGTTGGGAATTTGATAAGAATCTGGCGTTGCCTAAGTTAATGCTTTCCGTGGAACGCTCGTAGAATATCACTATCAAGATCCATTACATAAAGCGGTGTTCATTTTATATAGAACCAAGCAACTTAGGACAACTAATAAAGAACCACGTGAGAGAACCAAATCAAAATTGGGAAAGTGCAAGGGGTGGTGGTAGAGATAAAAGTGCCAAATATTTTTAACGATCCGCAAATATTATATCAAGTTTCAGGGGTCGTGGATGGTAGTTTGCACTATCCAGTACCGTCCAAGAACAGGCTCAATCAAACCTATTCCGCATCATTTTCAATTTTGTTGGTTTTGGGCAATTTCTTTAGGGATTCAGTTTTTCTCTCTATAATTGCTATAAGAATCTCATAACATCTAATGCAAATAATAGAATAACAGAAACTGCTATGAAAATAAAGACGATGAAAAAGGGAAAACTAACATTATTTCAATACCTACTACTAGTAAATGTTTGTTGGACAGCGTGCAATATCATTATTGAAAGTAGAAAATGGACATGTCTTTTGAAAAATGCATCATAATAACTCTTATGGAAAGTAAGGGCATAAGCACCACTCTTAAGGGAATAATACAACTTTCGGATGTACAAAGAAATTAACCTGCTCAAAAGAATTAAAGATCAAATAATTTAATGTATACGTTTGAAGAAACGTACAGGAACCCAAAAAAGTACTAAAGTTTCGAGCTCAAGGAATCAACGGCTTGACCCAATATTACAAAACATATATAAATGGCATAATCTATTTACGACACGGTCTTTATGAAACTGGTAATCTTGAAGGGCCAAATTCGACAAAATAAATTATACAGCAATAGAAAATAGATTGCCAATTAAACTATCAATTCAAAGCATAACATTAGGATTAAAGTAAAGCCACGATTTTCTAAACGACACGCAGAAATTCTTTAATTCAAAATGAATATTATAAAAACCTACCTTCAGCGGTAACAATTGCCCGAAATTTCATTGTTGGTGACCGTAGCGTTTTGAGATAAGTTGTTAAAAACAGCAGGCTTTTATATGTTTGTATTTCAAATCTTTCATTATTCAAGCGTTCATCAATGGTAAATCCTTTGTCGTCCTCTACAGATGTTCTAACAATGAGTGCACACTGCATGAAAATACAGCATTATTCAACAAACAAGAATCTAACACCGGAAACGGATACCAAAAAGAAATCCCACCTTGTTTATTCGTTTCCCAAATATTCAATTTTTAACAAACGTAGCAAGGGGTTTACTAACAAATTGCAATACAGTTCAAATTGAAAAAAACATAAACAGAAGTATGCTTTAAAAATATAATTTTCGGCAATGAATGAAAAGAATGAATGCACACACTGGGGCGTTTTAGTAAAGTACACTGCGGTAAGTTTTAATTAATTATTCGACTACCCTTAGGTAAAAATCTTTGATAAAACTAAATGGGTTTACAAATGATAAAAAACAATTAAATTATTTTATAAGTAATGAATAAGCTTTCTATGTAAGGGTCTATGTACTCCTGAAGAAAATATATTAATTTGTAAAAAAAAATTAAAAAACCCTTTTTTAATTGAAGTAATATGCAAACATTTCCGGCGTGCACATTTCCGAAAAAGTCACATTGGTACGCCACCCTGTAAAGAAAACTACATCAATACCTCAGATAATGATAGGTTTGTAAACACCAATGAGACAAACCGTCCTGGTTCGAAATTCACAATCCATTGTATATCATAGTCCAAAATAGGCCCGAATGGGTAACTGGGTGACGTTATTATGCTGTCTGTATTGATGTACTGAATGTTTCCAAAAAACGATTCATTCGTGTATTTAGCTCTCGGAAATGATGTTATATATACTGTTTAAAACGGAAATATTATACAACTTTGATTATATTACATATATTATGAAAGATAAATTGTCTAGATATATAAATATTTCGGAAACACAAACCACATAAATACAGTTCATCAAAAAGTCAAACGAAACGAGTAAGGCGTATAGATTTTATGTATAACAGTTATTGCAGTGTAGTTTGTTATATCAACAAACTGGTTTCAAACTTAAATTTTTTTTTCCATTTTAATCATCTTTATACATGCTAAGTTTGCGTTTGCCATAGCCATGATCATTTTATTTAAGAAGAAGAAAAGAAAAAAAAAATGAAATTATAGTATATTTTAAACAAGTAAAGGAAGAACATAAAGATTTGTGCAACTTTGCATGATTTAAAAAGTCACCAGTGAAACAAAAATTACGACCAAATAGGAAATCACCAACCTACAAAAATGTACTGTTTGAGATATCTGCCCCTGAAATGAGTCTTTACTCTTTTAGATCTTTTCAAGGAGTGTATTGCTCAAAATAATCATAGTGATACTTTATTTCTTTCGAATTATTTATGTTACTTATTTTCAGTCATTATGCAAAGATTAAAATACTTATTTCTAAAATATGTTTTGCTATGCTTCAGTGAGTGACCATACTGCATTTTAGAGAGACAAAAACGGGAATAAATTTAAAAAAAAGTTTCTATCATTTCACATAAGCAACATTAGAATAAATTCTGTCACAAATAATTTGAATTTCAACAAATTTTGCACTATGACAGAGAATATGTTATCAAACACAAATTCAAATTATTCATATGATGTGTTGCTTTGTATAGTTTTGAGTAATCGATCGTTGAATTGAAAAGAGCAAAGGGACAGACAACTCTAGAGAAGGATAGTGACCCACAAAAACTATTTCATCAATTCGTTTTTTTATCATGATTCTCTATTATCATGCAAATTTAAATAAAAAAATTCTATGCTCGTTAAACTTCCCTTCTTTGTCTTTGTAAACAATTTTTTTTTTTCAAATAAGAGGCATTTTTACGATGGCGCCTTAGGGCGATCGCGACTCACACGTAACCCGAAACAACAAACACACACAAATACGATGGTGAAAATCAAATGTCAAAATAACGCAACCACGATGGTAAAAAGTTGGAAGTACGACATGAAAAATCCAAATACGATGGTGAAAAGTCGAAATAACTGAACTATGATGGTGTAAACTCGATATAATTTCGTTGTTTCAACATTTTAAAATTATTAATGTGTTGCGTTTGGTTTTTTGTAGTAATGTGCGTTTTAAACAAACGCAATCTGTAATTTCCACGCATTTTTCTTATTTGTTTTATTATAATGAGTACTCAAATCAGGAAATTAAATTATTAGTTAAATTCTTCGTAAAAATTGTTCAATAAGATTTTTATAACAACAACTTTAATTTTGTGCTTCAGCAACAAAAGAATATTTATTCTCGTTTGTTTGTTACCTATTCAATTGAACATTTATTGAATTATTGCAATTAGTTATAGTGGTGAATGTTGACATACCATAGTTTTGTAGTTTTGCAAACCATTGACTACCAGAAGTTATCTTAGCACTTCTCCATATACCAAGTTCACTACCCATGTAGTGATAACAAAATCTTTCTTCATTCATACTTGCAACACGACAACTGTTCTTTGAACTACAAAGGTTGTTACATTCCTCAACACTTATATTTTCAATAGATGATGAATCTTCGGATCGGAACTCTTGGTCAAGAGGAAGCATTGCAGATGAGCTGCCGTTGTTGATGTCGAATAATACCTGTTCAACGAGAGATGAGATGTCCTTGCATAGTTATGACAACAAGCCCAAACTATAAATGGGAAGCTGCGTGCGCTCAGTATTACATATCAAGCAAAGTAGGTCCTTTCTTTTAAAAAAAACCCTATCAGTTTGTTTTAATGACACTATATACAACATGATATATTCATATTTTAACCGCCTGTAGTGGGTAGTACCTTCTGTGTGTGAAGTCACAACATGTTTACTTTTTAATGACAAAGTGACTGTGTAGCAATTATCAAAAGTATTTTCTTATATCAAATTTGAGCATAGTATACCTTTAAATCAGAGTAACGCTACGGCTGATTACAAATATAGCATTAAAATATAAAACGGTATAATTAAAAGTTTGAACTTTCTTTCTCTTTTTATTTAAAAGCCTTATCTTCAAATGTTTGTTAATACATGTAACAATGCCTTAATCTTTATTTAAATCTGGATATAATCACCCAATGACAAGCGCACATAACATCAATTTCACTTTATACTTATAATATTGTTAGTGTCTACTTACGTGTCAGTTTACAGCCGAACATTTGGAAAAAAAGACATCTGGGTTTGTCTGCTGGGGTTTCATGTGAATCATTGAATTTTACGTATCTGGCTTTGATTGGACTAGGAAAAACGAAAGATTGTTCTTCTTCTAAAACGTACTCAGGTGGCAATATCTTAAATTCCTGAAATTATAAATCACCTGTACTTAGTTTTATACAGCTTTGTTTCGTTCATGTAATATTTAAGCAGTTAATTTAATGCACACCCCCTTTGACAGTTCATTAAAGCAAAACTGCTTGCAGTTCACACCAATGTCAATAATTTCTAGTTAAAGGGTTAACTAATCTAAGAAACTAACAACATTTATTTACAAGTAGCCCCTGTCTGTTGTAATACTGATTACTTAACAATTACATTCCACACAAAATTGCTGATAATTTTAATTAAATTATGGACTGTATAAAAGTTTTTCTAACGTATTATCTATGAAGTTTAAATTCAAACAAAGATATATAAGTCACATGTTGCTTTTACTCAATATCAATATAATTTGAATACAGAAAAAGACTATAAACCACTGAAAATGTAGAATACGGGAATATATATTTGGACTCTTACATGCTCAATATGGTCAATATAGTTTCTCAAGCTGTGCACTCGTCATATATATCCCCGTATTGTACAATTCAATGTTTAACAACCTATAAACATTTTTATATGAGTATCTTTACATAGATGAGTTTACCATATGCTTGTATAGATGTAGTTGTTCTTTATTCGTGCCATAATGTAAACTAAAAGTTGTCCATATGTCACAATCTTTGGAAAAGTAAATACCAACTCCTTCTATTGTTGTTACAGCAATCAGATCCACCTTGATGAATAAAAATGAAAGGTACGAGAATAAGCCTGCTTAGGGGCATGAACAATAATTTGAGCTTACTACTACCGTCCAATCAAAGCGAGCCTGCAAAATTTTCAATTTTACCATTTCGGGCGTTCTTAAGAAATCCATGTTCTTTCCTTTACATTTAAAGATAAGTATTCTATTCATTACGCATTCAATGTTTGATAAACGAAATCAAAGTAAAGGTGTTTCAATGAAAAGGTTGATATTTAACTTTTCATATAGTCATATTGTTTGGTTGCACGGGTATATTTGAGATCATGCAAGCCTGAATCGCAGACAAATTTTATCAGCTTTGTGGACTTACTATGTATTATAAGTTTCAAGTGAGCCAATGGTGGTAACATTGAAAGATGAACGCAAAATGTTTTCAATAAAAATGTCGTTGAATATATAAAATTGCATGCTTTATCTTCATATTTTGAAACAATGATTTCCTTATCAATTATTTACTCTGACTTTGTAATAATGTAGTGGTACTCACAGGCTATTGTCCAACCCCATCCCCCCTGGTTTCAACATTTGCACATGCAAATATAATTATTGAAGTTTATATATGAACTTTCCTTTACATTTTCAATTTACAAAGTTGAAATTTGCTAATATCTTAAAACCACTGAACTCTTTCTTTGAATCAGTATTTATTAATACATAATTCCATGAAAAAAAATGTAATTTTAAAATAACAAACAAACCAAAATCCAAGGTGTCTGGTCGGTAATGTCATGAATCCAGCCAGTGAAAATATATTTGGTATCTGACAGTATTTGTCTTGGATGCGCAGAGGAAACATTTATCTGGTTGTCATCTATTTTAATACTTTCAAAACATGGCTCACCATTGTCTACAAATAAGAAATAGGAAGCAATAAGATAGCTAGTTTTGCATACACAATAGAAACATGTTTTAACAAATAAAAAACAGTCTCTACAGTTCAAATCGTTCAATTTGAATACAATGTCAAACTTTAACGACAAATCTAAATTGAACGATGGTACTAATTTCTTTTTATATACTTGAATTTAAGATTATGTTTTAAGGCCGCTGCCTGGTGACTAGTTGGTTTGGAAATATCATATAACCTGCATTATCACTTCTTAGAAATAGAAACTTTGTTATTTCTACAATTAAACAAATAACTCATTTCCATATTTGTATGTTAAAATGTTAAATGAATTATGTTTTTACCAGACAGTTTAAAGATATAATATGCTCATGTTTGGGTTATTTACTACATTTTTATTGCAGAAATTTCTAAACAAAAACTAGTAAATTCTTCCTGAATATATCTAATTTAATTAAGTGAATATAAAAACTATGTTTGGGAAGCTCCATTCCATATTGCTTGTCAAATTCATATGGACTATTCTTATGAAACCTTCCATTTGACACAGTCGATTATTCCATTCTTTTAATGAAACTGCAAGCATCAGGTCTTAGTATTGCCGTCCTAAATTGTTTCAAATCATATTTATCAGATAGACAGCAGCTTGTAGATGTCTCTGGTACTTATTCTTCCAATTCCAAAATAACATATAGTGTTCCTCAGGGCTCAATCCTTGGACCCCTTCTCTTTTTAATTTATGTAAATGATATGTCAGCTGTGGTCAAAAATAATTTTCTTTTATATGCTGATGATTCGGGTATCCTTGTATCTGGTAAAATTTATCTGTTGTTGAAAAGGCATTGACAGATGATATGGAATTGGTCAGCTAATGGTTAGTGGACAATAAGTTGTCATTGCACTTGGGTAAAACCGAGTCAATTTTTTTGGGGTCCAAGCAAAAGCTTAGGTCACAATCTAACCTGTTCTGGTACATCCATTGAATCAACTTCATCTATCAAGTATCTAGGGATTACTATAGACCAAAATCTGTCATTTTGCTACATGGCCGAGTCGGTTCTTAAGAAGGCCAACTCTCGGTTAAAATTTCTTTACCGCAAGAAAAAATTTCTTACTAAGCATACCAAGAAACCTGGTTATGTCTCTTATTCAGCGTCACTATGATTATACATGCTCTGTTTGGTATAATAGCTTGACACAGTCTTTAAAAAATAAGTTACAAACTTGTAAAAATAAAATAATGAGATTTGTACGTGACTTGGATTCCAGAGACCATATTGACCCATCCCACTTTAAGTCCCTTAACTGGTTACCGGTCCACAGAAGAGTTGAACAGATAATGTTGTGTCGTGTTTTTAAGATAAAAAATGGGCTGTCTCCGGATTACATGTCTGAACACTTTATTTCGCAAGATTCCGTACATAATTATAGTACAAGACTTAGTCAAAAGGGTGGGTATTGTCTACCTAAGGTCAAAGGTCATGGTTCTAAATCCTTTGCTTTCTCTGGTATTAAATTATGGAATGATTTACCTATAGAGTTAACGGAGACAACAGGTTACAAAGATTTAAGGTTGCCATCAAAAGTCATCTTATGAACAGTATTTATTTTTTTACTATGTTTTACATATTTCGGCTCAGGATTTTAAATTGTCTGCTAATTATCTTTTTACAATTTTAGTAATGTGTTTTAAATCCTAGCTGTAAACAGGAGTATCATTAACTCAAGATTTGACTGTGATATACATTTTTATGACTTATTTGTATATGTCATGCCGTCAATACAAAGGATCACAATGGAAATAAAAATAAGAGCTTTTTGCCCGTTTTTGTGTTATCCTTGGTTTTGGTGAGCATGTCATAGTTTTTCTCGTATGTGATAAGGTATTTAATAATGCTCATTATTTTATCCTATGTTATCTTGTCAACTATGTATATGCTTCCTTTGCCGAAATAAATCTATCTATCTATCTATCTATCTATCTATCTATCTATCTATCTATCTATCTATCTATCTATCTATCTATCTATCTATCTATCTATCTATCTATCTATCTATCTATCTCTCTATCTATCTATCTATCTATCTATCTATCTATCTATCTATCTATCTATCTATCTATCTATCTATCTATCTATCTATCTATCTATCTATCTATCTATCTATCTATCTATCTATCTATCTATCTATCTATCTATCTATCTATCTATCTATCTATCTATCTATCTATCTATCTATCTATCTATCTATCTATCTATCTATCTATCTATCTATCTATCTATCTATCTATCTATCTATCTATCTATATATCTACATTTTTCAGGACACTATGAAATCATACAGTGATTATCTGTAGTGTTTAGTGTTTAAAACATATCATGTTTCCTTTTTGTGTACATATTTCAAGATGCTTATTTTCGATTCAACAAAAACTGTATAGTAATTATCAGGTTTTTTTTTAAATATCAAATTTGAGCATAATATATCTTTAAAAATAAATACTAATACGACATATATTCCATATATATTGTTGTCAAATAATTAAAAGGTCTCCCCAGTTGTGTTGTTTAATTCAACGTTAACGTACTTACGTGCTTCTATACTTGATATGTACGCCTTAAATGACAAGTTACCATCAATGAATTTCTCGAACGCGAAGCTGAAAAATCGACCACGTGTTCTTCTGCAATACGATGATTTAAGATTACATTGCTTATAGTAAGTATAAGTTAGTTGAAGAAATTTTAATGTTCATGCACAAACTATCGTGCTATTGTAAGTGTGTTTATATATCTTAATAGACGAAACAATGCATACATTTATTGGAATTCTAAAGCATTAATTCATGAATTCGTATATAGAACATTGTAAATCTGAATATAAAAGTACAAATTTAAGTCAGGCTACATCAACATTACGTAAATTTGCATCTGTTTTTCAAAATACAATTTAAGTTTTGGGTATGATATTTCTGCATTTTTATCCCAAATAACATCAATCATATTGCGATTGTGCAAGGAAAATTGTGAATGTTTTATAATTTTGTCATTTTTCTCTAGTATACTAAACGAAAACATGCATATTACTTAATATGCTAAATATATCAAATGTAAAACTCATAACATAACGTAAAATATGTTTTATAACGATAAAATATCAGCTGAACAAGTGATTAAATATGTCATTCCTGTAAATTCATAAGTTTTAAGTTTTTTATCATATGCTTAGGAATAATCATTTGATGACGACAAACAAGCATTAAATGAGCCGCATCACGACAAAACCAACATAGTGCGTTTGCAACAAGCATGGATCCACGCCAGCCTGCGTATCCGCGCAGTCTGATCATGATCCATGCTGTTCGCTATCAGTTTCTCTACTTGTAATAGAGTTGGCAAGCAAACAGCACGGATCCTGATCAGACTGCGCGGATGCGCAGTCTGGTCTGCATCCATGCTGGTCGCAAACCCACTATATTGGTTTTGTCGTGACGCGGCTCATTAATATGTTTCTCATTCTATAACAAAGCAAATATATTACATATTTATCGGCTCGGTCGATTTAATTATCTGCCGGTGAATATCACATCATACTGAATTGATCACTAGTCAATAATTTTATAATATACAATGGCTCACTAGTCAATAAATGGACGACAGGTATGATATTTCTCTCATACTCACAAGTAATATAAGACTGTATACACGTTTCGATATACCAATGACGAAATGAAATGAAACAAAACATGCATACACATGCAAATAGTGTTACGTGTTAACAAAATATATGTAAATATCTATTTTTGACTTAAAGACGAAAGCGTGAACGTTGTTTAGTAACTAAATGTACATAGTGTATCAAGCCTCAAATATGATTTAGCTCTCGTTTACGTGTGATGTAAAGACAATTGAAAAACTAATCTTTCACACACACACAAGAAAGAAGAATAATAGTTTTTTTTATAAATTTTACTTCAATTCATACAATATAATACAAAAAGAAGCATTGCATGAAGTATCAACTCTTTTCAAGCAAAACTAAACGATAATAAATCATGTATACATGTAAAGATTTGTTTCGTCATCATTTTGATTATGTCAGTGATTGAATAAATGTATAGAAAACGGCTGCATTACCTCAGATATATTTTTCCAGGATTATTTGTTTGTTCAGTATTACACATTACCGATTCCACCAATGACAGATCGTAAACAAGGCATGTGAAAGGAGTATCTTTTTGCTGCAAATAAACATGTCTTTATAACAAACATTTAATAAAAGACAATCTGAATCATATTTTATATAATCTATCAGATTCGCGGTACTACGTTTAGGTGTTTCAACTGAGAAATATATTACATGTTCTATAGAAAGTAAAACGCTACACAAATTGTTGACATACGTTCTCCCGCAATATGACATAAAATCATATGACAATATTTATAAAATCAAAATTGTAACTAATATCTTGCATATTGTATTAAACTACTTAGAACAGGGTCATTGGCAGTATCTTGCATTTACCACAACCTTCCATGAACAAGTTCAATTAAACCAGCCTGCAATATTTGCAGTTTCCCGTTTTGTGCGTTCTTTAGGGACTGTTTTTCTATTTGCATTTTCGGTAATTAAGGACTAGCATACTCACAATAGTCGGGGAGGTGATTTCAATCATTACAACTTCAAGTGAGCGCTGACAGTCAATGGTATACAATTCATCATTATAAGGTTCTGGAATAAAACAATAGATATATATATGTTTTTATTTTGCCTATTTATCACAAATTCGGCCATATATACATACAAGGTAAAGAAACTAATGGACAAAAAGCATGTCTAATCATACAGCTTGTAGATATTTCGCAAGTATTTTAAACCCATATATTGAATCAGAAAATTATATGTAGGTCATTTTAGCCGTTATTTCTTCTGTTATGTGTATGTCATTTACTTCTTCCAGATCTTACCTGGATAAATTGCTTTGATGAGGTTTTGTTGATGAAGAATCACCTCTGAAACTCAGAAAAAGGAATAGATACACACAGAGAATGCACAAAATAAACTCTTTTCAGAAAGTTTTTAAAACTCGTAAGTGTAGATTCTATGTTTTCTCTCACAATGTTTATTACTGTATTCTGTACTTTGATATTTTAATGTTTTTATCTTTTATATGTTGCCAATTGATAGACCTATTTCATGTAAGAAAAAACTCTTACTTGTAAACGGTTTTGTAACAAATACTTTATAAATGAATTTTATAAAATTAGTAACATGATTGTAAACGCTGCGATTTTGATTATCGAAAAAGAATAAATAATAAAAGAGTTGCCTTGTAAACAAACATTTTACGATGGCGCCTTTTATCTAGATGTCATATTATGACATGTTGCATTTCATAACAGAGGATGTAAAGTATTGTTAATAATACTTACCTGTTGTTGTATCATAATCAAAGTTCATAACAACTGAAAACAATTAAAATACACATTTGAACTAATATCGCGAACCTTAATTGATATAATAATTGCAAGCATTTAATATCACTATTTTTGCAATGGTATAACGCAATTTACAAGGTGATCTTGAAGTTTCCTGTGTTTTGTTAGCAACCACAAAATAAACCAGTAAAAGGAATGTATAACTTGAATAAAAAAATCTAAAATACTTAATACGTTTAGCTGGAAACATTACACGCATAGTATTTGGGAATTAAATAACCAGGTTTGTGTTAAAATTGCCTCATTCAAACTCAGAATATAACATACCTTTTGGGTTATAAAGGCAGTATGTAGGTCCCTGAGACACTGTTGAACCGTCAAATTCAATGCAATGTGTGTCTTGATCCTGCCATTATATTATCGAAGAAATTTTACCTCAGAAAAAGTTCAAATAAAACACATGTCATTTTTGCACATTGCATTTAACAGAAATATTTCATTAAACGTATGTTTATTTCGTGTCCAGGATGGAATAAGATGCAAATTATAAACAAAGAATACATTTCGTTAGGAATTTACTAGACTTTAAATATACTTTAATTTATAGTTAACAATATGTATAATTCCGGTTACGTATAATTGCTTCACTTGCTTTTTTTTCATTCTCATATTAAAGATACTTTTATTAAATAGTTCAAAGAAAAGAAAAAAGAAACCTTGCCTTTTCAAGAATGAAATCAGTCCCTAACATTTTGAATGTTACAGTTGAATGAAAGTCTGCCATGTCAGTAAATTCCATTTTTCTACACATTGAGATGCTGAAAGTTTCTTCAGATTGCCCTTTTATTGAATAAATATTCTGTTTTACATTCTTAATAGTAAAAAGGCATATACATTGAACATGACGAAACACAAGAAACATATTGAAAATCAAAACAGCAGAATTGATTTAATCGGGTGTAAAAATCTGAAAAAATGGATTATCCCTCGGGAGTAATGAAATCAACAATATTATATAAATATTGAAGATTCGATTTGATGTAGCATGTTCATAAGAGATAAGGTCATAATGTTCCAAAATATCAACACTGGAAAATGCAATGCTGAAATAAAACCAATATTTTAATAATTAAAAGAAAATATTGAATAATGCTATGTATTTTGGAGGAATACCAATAATATCAATGTTATATTTTTTAAAACATCTACGCTTTTCGTACATTTCAGAGTTCAATTTTGGAAATAAAGCGGGAGAAATATCAACATACAAACCTTCTTTTGATACTGCAATATTTGGAATATGACCAGAGGACACAACATTAGTTACAGGAAGTGTTCCGTTTAATTCCTCAAATGCTAGAAATAGAGTGATACAAAGATTCTATTTATCTTTTTACTAGATAAAAACGGTTTTCAGATAATTATATCTACGGGCTCAAGTACCTAAAATAATATCACCTCATTAAACAAAACTTCTGTAAAGGATAGATCATTGAAAATAATTGATTAAATTGGCAAAAATAAATAATTGAAAATTACAGACTCGTCTCAATTGTGATGTTAATAATGGAAAATTGAAACGTTTTTCTGTTGTGTAAGCTAAAACCCCATAATAGCACCGGCTCAATCAGAAGTTATTCTAATTTAAAGTATCAAAGAATTGATATATACCTGTAGGGCACGACGGGCCGATCTTGTAAATACTGTAGTTTCCAGGAATCCAGTGTTCTTTATCAAGTGTGGGTTCGTTTCGGAATTTCACACAAAAATAGAGCGTCAAATTTTCTTTACGATCAGGTAATTTGAAAAGGATATCGTATAACTCAACAAATCTTTTCAACCAATCCCCATACAATACTGTAGAAGTATTTTCCGAAGTAATCATGCTGACCTTCAAAAAGCTTTTAAACCAACCCTGAGATTTAGACTCCGGACAGCCATACTTGGACATTGGGATTGCGTATGGCCCTGGTGGCCACATGCTTTGTTTTTCCAGTCGTTCTGTAATCAGAAACATGATGTATATTTTATAATATTTATGCAAATAAAATGTTGTTGTTGTTGTTATTTTCAAATTTTAGTCTGGTGGAGACCAATGATTATAACTTTATTCCTATTAAGCGTGGTAAAGATTACGTTTTCCCAACTAAATTGCTATTATAATAGTTTTAAAAGGTCTTGGTGATTCTATGTGTTAGCGTGTCATTGTTAAATCATTCAAAATCATTTGCTGAATTGAAGTGATTATGAGACAATTTTATCGCAGTTTTCCTAGCCTGACTTTCATATGCATGTATATATAATCCTAAACTGTAATATTTGAATTAAAGTCCGCCCATCGCAATCTCGTGGGAAAACTGCAACAAATATTGAATAATTTATACTTGTTCGAGTTCCCGCCTATAGAAGGATTGGCAGGAGTATGGTAATGTTTGATTGTTTGTATGGTCCGGAATTTTAGTCCGGGAATTGCGTTACTGAAATCTTTATTACATTGATATTTTTGGTGATTCTGAAATGTCACAGTTTCTAAAGTCACAGTATCAAATCTACCGACCGTTTGCTAGAAATGCCAATGAATAAACAATATGTATGAACTCAAATATTCATGGCTGTAAGTACGGTAGTGTGTCCCTTGGTAAAACGATTAACATTTTATATGCAAATATCTGGAACCTTTAAATGTTTCTGACTTGATATTTGTCATACCCATTTACGTTGACCGATAAATTTGATAAATCACTTGGGTGATATTATTTAGAACCTGTTGCTAGATATTGAAACATAAAATATTATTATCATGCATTCTATATGTACTCTCTAAACAGTTCTTCTATAATAGAAAAACATACTTTACGGATACCATATAGGAAACAAGTGGGTTCAACGCATTTTTTTCAGGACATTTTAAACAATGAAAACAGAACGCATTGCTTAAATGAGCTTCGTCTACTTATGTTTAAGACTGATTCATAAAACAGTAAATATCATTTTATTTATTTTATTGTAATCTGTACCTACCTTTACTGATATTTAGCTTTTCACATGCCATTCGGTTCGTACCATTTTCAAAGCACCTCGAGTACGGAAACTCCGTTGGTTTATAAACAAACTTAGGTTGAAGAGATACTGCAAAACAAAATCAAATGGAAGACAAAAAATGGTATTCTGATAATTATGTTGTAAGTGTAGAATCCCGAACCCTCGAAAATAATGAAAACAGAAAAGCTAAAACTATATATAAAAAGGACTTTGCTTTCGGTTTTCGGCCAGTGGGTAGGGCTTTACTGAACTGTACAATTTCAACGGTGACACACTGATAAAAACCCACGAAAGATGGCTAAGGCCTGGATGATGTTGACAGTTCGATTCACTTCATGGATTTTTTTTTGTGAAATCTAAATTTTATCTAATATGTGGCTGCTTTACTAAAGATTCGAACTGCAAATTCATGGTACACAGAAATAGTTGTAAAAATGATAAGTTAACGATTAACATTGTGTTTTAAAGCGTTTGTTATCTTATCTTTAGTCATTTAATTTTGTTCATTTACCATTCATAGTTTACCTCTAATATGTCTCGACATATGCACATATGCTAGGTAAACGATGAGGGAGAGTTATATTGGTTTAAATTAGTATAACCAAAAGAGGCTTATTAGTATTTGAAAATGATAGTGAATTCCATGCAAAAAATACACACAAAGCTATGATGAGAATGGTAGTTTGTGAAGGTTGCGCTCTCGTTTTAAGTATCATCGTTTATTCTATTCTCTAATACAGCAATCAAATTGAGGTGTTTCACAGAGAAAATCTCCGTGGTGTTAATTTGAATATTCTCTCTAACGACTCATAAAAAATATCAAATATGTCTTAATATGGGTCTGGAAGAGTTCGGTAAGCTGTCATCAATAACTTGAAACAATACAAACCTTTCATAAACGGACATAAATATTTTATAGATAACTTGTCAATAGATAATAAATTCATTATATAATTCATAAGTAAACATATTATATACTTAAAGTGTATAAAACTATACATCTACTGACTTTCATTTGTTTACACAGGAATTATTAGATTTTTTTATAGAATACTTCTTACTAAAATATCTGTATGACAGTATCAAAACAAAGTATTTAATTAGGTATACAGCTGTATATTATAATGGCCGGTAGCGCCCATTTTAAAGCTGCAAGAAATTTACCGTCGATTTATAAATGTCGCGTGCAACTCTTAAATCCGCGAGATTTAATGTCGAAGTTGTATAATGTCGCAACTTATAGAAACTCTCGAGTTTTTGTGTCCCACTTCTGTCGTAGAAAGTCACGCAAATATATGCCTGCTTTAGGTAGCCGGGTGCGGGCATTTTAATCCAAGATATTTTGTTTTGATGAATTCCTTGTAAAAAGTCAAGTTTGAGCATTAAGCTTGGACTTTTCATGCCGGGAAATGTCTCTGCGCAAAAAGTCGCGGCTAAAAATTGATGTTAATCGCCATGATATTTTATACGTAACAAAAAGTCGAGTCTTTATGTTGAGTCTCTCTGAAGATAAACAACAAGATGTTATAGTCGCATTTAATAATACTTCCAGATACCTTGATGATATTTTTAATTTAGATAATGCTTATTTTGATCAGATGGTGTCTGACATTTATCCGCATGAACTACAACTTAATAAAACGAACTCTTGAAATTTTTGGATCTTCATATTACTATCAACAACAATTCTATTCACACGAAAATCTATGATAAAAGAGATGACTTTGACTTTTGTATAGTTAATTATCCACATTTAGATGGAGACGTACCCCATGCAACATCTTACGGGGTTTATGTTTCTCAGTTGATTGGATTCGCTAGAGCTTGTAGCAACGTAAAGGATTTCAACGAGCGGAATATTTTTATTACCAGGAAGCTTCTAAAACAGGGCTACCGCTATAATAAATTACGGAAATATTTTACTAAATTTTACACTCGTAACTTTGAATTAATTTCTAAATTCAATAGTGATTTAAAAACTCTTCTGCGACAAGGGATTAGCCAGCCTGGTTTTTATAACGATGTGATTTACAAACTTCGTAAGATTTTGGGTCATGGTAATTTTTCTGCTGTTTTTACTAAAATCATTAAACGTTTTATTAAAAGAGGTTATGACCCTACTATTTTAAGACATACTGCATGTTTAGTGTTCAACCCTTTTACAGTTGGACACTACGCTTACCTCTTTTGGTTGCATCTGACTGACCAAGTGGGAGACTCTATGATTGATAGTTCGTAAAGCCCTTTGGGACTGAATTGTCTTAATGTTCGTCTTCTGCCTTGCTTCGTCGGGCCCTTGTAGGGGATTTTCTTGTTGCTCTGTCTTCCGTTAGGACATTGAGTACTTTTGTTATGGTCATTGGGTTTACTTTTATATCTTTCTACATGATCATTTTAGTGTTTTACTTATTTAACCTTTTGTAACCATGACAACTGTTAGAATTTCACTCGGCGGGGATTCATTTTATTTACACTGTCTCGTTTATAGGAACATGAAGGGGCTAAGAGCGAGGTTTGGTGCACCATTAACCGGTTTAAGCTCCCCAGCAGTCATTATTATGCTGCTGACCGTTCCAAGGCGGCGCCCCACTGTGTTCCTCAGATTTATGTCTATGTTGTTTCATACTGTTTTGGCGACACTTTTGCTTGTGTCCCTTGTTGTTTTCTCGTCTACGGTAAGTATCTTCCCTTTTGCCTTTAGTTTGTATTTCTTTGATTAAACCCCCCCCCTTCCCCCGGTCTCCTGTCCCCTTCCCCTTTGTGGGCCTATTATTCTTTTCTTTGAATTCCTAATCAGTTTACAAATTATTTATCATTTACTGATTAACCTGTCCGTGCTCTGTCTTTGCCCTGTCCTGTTTTTGTTTGGGGTCCGCCTGGGCTCCTTGCCATTGGTTCTTGTTGCTGGGTCATATGGGGCTTGCGTTCATTGAACGCCGCCTTTCCTTGTTGATCTTGTTTATCATATTTTGACCTAGCTTTTCCACTAGACTTTGCGTAAAATTTCTACAATACTTGCAAAATATGTTGCGGATTTCTTTTTGTTCCTCAGCTTTTTATTAACAAACAATGGATAAAATGTAGTCAACGCTTTGACGCTACAGGCCACTGCTTGCTGTCTCCAGCAACTGTTATAAAATATCGATATTTATACATTTCCTGCGACTTTTGTACGATTTCGGCATAAAATCTCGTAGGAAATAAGTTACCCGCAACATTTTATGATGAAACGACATTTTTTTTTCGCGGATTTGAAATGGCCACAACCGGCCACAATAGTATAGTTTTGCAGTTTATGTTATGCTTAAAAATTGCTATGTCGAATTGCTTCAAAAATACAAAGGGCATTGGTTGTCCTGTCATTTGAAAGCACACATTACTTCTAACGTGTGTACAATCCGCGTATTTCAAAAACAGCTTTAAGCAATATAAAAATAACAAGAAGGCCATGATGGCCCTATGTCGTTCACCAGTATCAACTGCTTTTCATAATTGGAAATTATCCATTGTCAATTTTTGATATATTAAATTTGAGCATAGAATATGTTTAAACAATAACTTGAAGAAATGCCATGACCTGGGGCATTAAAGCTTTAGCTTAAACGAAGCCAATCAAATTAATATGAGCTAATCTGATCAAAGACTACCGACTTCCTAAGAATGCTACGAAATTTGGTGATCATCTAACGATTATTTCAGTAGGAAATGATGTTGAAAGGTTTTTCTATTTTTTGCTTCAGTGGCCCCTAAAAGGAGCCAATCAAATTAATATTAGCAAACTTGATAAAAGTCTACTTTAGAATGCTACAAACAAAGTTTGGTGATCATCCATCAATTAGTTATGTAGAAGAGATTTTAAAAGGTTTTTCTTTTTTTAGCCTTAGCGGCCCCTACACTTGGCCAATCAAATTAATATGAGCAAACTTCATGAAAGACTACCCTAGACTGCTACAGACAAAATTTGGTGATCATTCATCAATTAGTTCTGTAGTAGACAATGTTTAAATGGTTATCTATTTTTAGCTCTGTTGACCCCTAAACGGAGCCAGTTGAAATAACATGAGCAAATTCAAGTGTGACTGTCACAAGGATGCTACAGACCAAATTTGAAGTAAATCTGCCAAGGAGTTTCAGAGAAGAAAACGATTGTTGACGCATGCAACGGACGCCGGACACCGCAGCATCCCCCTTTGAGACTACTAGCTCACCCTGAACCTTCGGTTCTGGTGAGCTAATAACAAGACGCATAAAATAGCTGCGAAAGAGAGGTTAGCTGTGTATTGTATACCTTGTAAATACTACCTTTACAAATGTCTGTTTGAAACTGAAGGGTAAGCGTTCCCACACGGTAATATCACTACTTGAATTTACTACCGCACCAGTTCTGGATTTATTTAAGACGGGAAAGCTCAAGTCAAAGCCAAATGGAAAGTTAACCATCAATTTTGCCACATGTCTTTCTTATATATAAACAGTGCTTACACGCTTGCTCTTGATGGTTTATTGGTTCATCTTAATGCCTCGGACATCAATTAATTATATACTAACTAAACGATATTTAAACTTTTAATAAGCAAAGGATCAACAATAAAGTCAGAACTATGTCTGCACAGCACTATCCTTATCATCTAATAAGAAAAATACTAAACTTCACAAGATAGTATATGTTTAAATTTGTTAAAAATGGATTTTATTGTTCCTGAAGGTAAACACATTGGTAGACTAAAACAATTCAGATGTCAGATGCAAAACAGGTCGCCTTTAGATGAAAACAACATGTTTACGCATGATTTTATTTTATCCTGGTTCCACGAAAACTACCCTCATTGCATGAAATAAGAGAGCTGTCATTTGTTTAAGGAGATAGGAAAACATTGTCTCTCCATTTGGAGAAAATGTAAGTAAAATGTTTTGCAACAAAGCAAGACATTTAAATTGGTCCCGAAGTGTTAAGCTGATGTGTGTGAATGTTTCAACATACGAGTGCTTTGATATAACAAATATAGAATTCAACAGGATGCACCGACTGGGCAGTAACCGTGCAAACAAAACACGGCCAATTGTTGTAAATTTCCAGCGGTCGGCGGACAAAGAGGAAATCCGAATGAAATCAAACAAGGAGGACATTAATAAACTGCTAAATGATTTGAAGATGGGCATCGGGGTCCAAATGCCACAAGAATACCGTGATGCAAGACAAGTACTTTCAGACTCTGCGAAGGACGAAACGAACCTTGGAAAGAATACCCGTATCGTGTGAAATAAACTATATGTTAATAAGTTAACCCAGAAATTTGTTAATGGGAAAGTATTTATCTATGACTGGAGATGTCGTGAGAAAGACATTAAAATTCGGTCACGGAATGTACATGGATTAAGTAGGAAATTAAAAGCCCCGGAATTTATTAATTTGATAAAAGAATATGACATTATTTTTTATCGGAATCAAGGATATCTAAAAATACAGCTGTTAATCTAAACATAGATGTATTTTATAGTGATCATTTATTTGGTAACAAATCGCGTTATGCCCATAGAGGCAGATATAGTGGTGGTATAAGTGTGTATTTTAAACAATTCCTAGGAAATGATATAAAAATAGTGGAAAAAATCAAAATGGATTTATATGGGTAGAACTTGGTAAGAATCTTTTTGCATTCGAAGAAAATGTTTATATTTGTACATTGTAATACATATATAACTCCAAATAATCTTGTACTTGTTGACAACTAGGATTTTGACTTTTTTTAAGCAAAAAATAGAAACTGGTTTAGAGAAGTATAAATTACAGGGTAAATGTCTAGTTACAGGTGATTTTAATAGTCGTACCTCTGATTTTTCGGATATATTAGATTATGACATGTATATTGATGCAGACGATATATTGTCGAATCACCCATGTATTCCTACGCGAAAATCACGCGATAAGGTAATTGATAAAAAAAGGGGAGGCGCTTGATTGAGCTATGCCAATCAACATCATTCGTCATTGGTAACTGTCGATTGCACGATGACCTTGGTAAAGGCGAATTTACATACCATTCAATGAATGGATCGAGTGTAGTGGCCTACTTGCTTTTAAATATTCATGATTTTTGATTGCGTCACAGATTGGTTTTACAACCGAATGAATTTTCTGATCACACGGGTATCTCGCTTAATATTCTAAGTAAACAGTCTGTCCAACCATTATACGACGATGAATATAAGAATATAAAGCAGAAATCATATTAAAATGGGATGACGATAAAATAATAGAATTTAAACAATCATTATTGCAAGATGAAAATATATTCTCAAGGCTTACAGATAGAGTTATAGATAACGAGGATATAATGAAGTGACTGATTTTTTTGTTAATAGTGTAAAGTCGTCGGCGCAAAAGATTGTTGAATTATAATTTTTGAAAAAGGTAGACATACAAGTTACAATTTCGTATATAATGACATAGTTCTGGAAAACGTATCTTTTTTAATATCCTGGGATAAATTTATTTAAAAATGGTCATTGGAATCGAACTCAAAAGAAATTAGCTCAACATGCTTCGCTTTCAAAGCATAATTTATTCACTGTGTTAAATCAATTAGAATTACCTATTGGAGACAAAATCAGACTTTTTGATAGTATGGTAGATTCACTTTTTAAACTATGGTGCTATAGTTTTTGGATATCAAGAAGGAAAAACAATATCCATTGTAAATTCCTCAGAAAAATCTTATGTGTTAAGAAAGCAACAAACCTGGATGGTTTTTATGGCTAAACCGGTAGGTATCCAAATTGAATGCGAATACATCGTAAATGTATCATGTTAAAATATTGGACAAAATTAATTCGTTTACTAAATGACTGCCTGCTTAAACGTATGTATAATGTCTTAAAATTTGATGCAGAAAACAGTCTTTCTTATGGTGGTAACAACTGGGCATGCAAAATTAAACTAAACATATTTTAAATAAAATAGGAATGTCGAACATATGGATTAATCAAGAACACATAACAATCAATTTTCAACAAATTAAGAACAGAATACTGGACATTTACAAGCAAGAATGGTATAACAATATAAGAAATTCTAGTAGGCTGTCGTCATACAGCATCTATAAACGCTCATTCGAAACTGAAGAATATCTTTATTAAGTTAAAATTAACAAATTCCAATTATCACTTACAAAATTTAGATTGTCATCCCATAATGTAGCAATCGAAACGGGTCGATACGAAATCGTTGGGCAAGAAAACAGACTATGTACGAATTGCAATGATAGAAAACGAATTTCATTTTTTGCTAGTTTGTCCAAAATACTAAAGTTAACGTCGCAAATACTTAAAACGATATTATTGTCGCTGGCCATCAATTTATAAATTTGGAAAACTAATGTCTACAACAAACACGCAAATGTTGAATAACCTGTCAAAATTTTTGTATTATTCATTTAAAGAAAGAATAGACAACAGCTAGTATATTAAATTTTGTCAATTTTTTGGATTTTTAATTTAAAGAAAGAATAGACAACAGTTATTACCTTAAATTTATTCACTTGTCAATTTTTTTTGTATTTTTCATTTAAAGAAAGAGCTGACAACAGTTAGTATCTTAAATTTATTCACTAGTCAAAATTTTTGTATTTTTCATTTAAAGAAAGAGCTGACAACAGTAAGTATCTTTAACTTATTCACTTGTTAATTTTTTTCTATTTTTCATTTAAAGAAAGAACTGACAACAGTGAGTTTCTTCAATTTATTCAAGTTTTGCAGCATCAAGAACATTTTTCGTACAACATTTCAACTTTGTTAAGGTCTAAATAATATTTATCATGTTCTTCCATTACAAGAATAGATAACAGGAACTTAGCATCAAGAACTTTCTCTGTAAAACATTCAAATTCGTAAAGATCTTTATATTATGTATCATGTTCTTCCATTACATGATTGTTAATTGTATTGGCTGTAAATATGTATTGTCAATTTATGCCAAATAAAGAATACATATATGTTATGTTTATGTATTTTTGTTGACAACTCGCAAAAAAATCGTGTCTTTCCACAGAAAATCAAGCGTCTTAATTGAAACCATGTACGAGTAAACTGCTTTTCGGCCGGGCCAATAAACTCAGGATAATAATTCAAATTTCACAAAATCTTGTCGATACCATGCCAGCATCATAGTAAAAATATTCTTAAATTTGTAAAAAGATAATTTTGCTTGATTACTGAGTATTTGAATGCGAACGGGCCATTGACATTTTCTTTTTATGTTACATCCAAATTATTACAAATCACAGTTTATTTAATTTGTACCTCCAAATTTCCAAACAATAGAATAAAAAACACTAACCTGTATTTAAATAGCCAACACAAATATAGATGATGAGCCACTTCAAAGTCATGTTGGTTGTAGACAAATATTTAACTTCATTACACTCAATGCATGCTTAAAATTCGTGTATAACAATTAAAACAAAAGTCCCCAACAAGGTATCGAATGAATCTTCGGAGTAATTTGATGCGTTTGTTTAGGCAGAATCTCGACAAACTAAATTGATTGTAAGGCTGTGTCCCTCTATATTAGGCAATTCTAAAATGTCAATAACATTAACTTTTGTCTCATTTCCGAGTAATTAGCAGTTATTATTATAACGTACATTTCAAAAGATCAACTGATATTAATCATACCGCAAGCATTTTAGATTTGCATTGTGTGTGTGTGTTTTTGTTTTTTTTTTCATAATGTCATATTATTAGCTGGCATTTCATATTTTTCTCCCTGACCATGAATCATTGTACCGTATTTTGTATTGCCAATTTGGTAAAAGTGTTGTAAAAATATCACCAGATAATAAAATTTTAATATTTTGATACATTTTGTAATAATATTCATTAAAAACAATCTGCCAAATATCACTTTGTATATCAGTGTAAATAATTCAGATTCGCTAATGGCTTCCGATTTTTAGAGAACATAATTGAGCTAATTGCTAATTGAGCGTGTATGTTATGCTTATTAACATGCTCGTTTATTGTCGTGCCTATTTTTGTTTGAACTATCCATCCCATTAATGATAAGATAAATTTTTACTCAGTAAAATGCCAAAATATTGCAGTAACTATGGAGACAAAATTATGTATCATATTCTTAATGTGGAACCATTACATTCTATCACTAACTAGTGAACAATGAATTATAACACGTTTACGTTTGTTGTTTGTTTTGTTTTCATTTTTGTTCTTGTATGGGATGTAAATGTGTTTTATATGCTACATTTAATTACTTCTTTTTCCGTTTAAGATTTTCTTCAATTCGCTATGTGGTTATTTTATTATAGTGTTTTGTACTATCATTTTTGTGTGGCCTGCGACATATAAGAATCACTTTTCCGTCGTCTGTCTGCCCGCTAGTCACAAAATTTATCCGGATTACTTCTCAGAAACTACTGGTGCAGTTACATCAAAACTTTACAGGTACTATGTCTACTTGGACATATCCTCGGCATTGTAAGATTTAATGATTTTTTCAGAGAAATTGACCTTTAATAACTTTTATTTTCAAAGTTTGTCCGGACTACTCGTCTTATACCACTAATGCAATTTCAATGAAACTTTACAAGATTGATCGGTAACACAAGTCCTTGCGCATGACTGATTTTGGCCCTTGAATTTAAAAGGTGTTTTGATCTGTTATTGAATTTTGTGTTGCCTGCTACACGTCCAGACAACTCCCCAAAAACTAGTTGTGCAAATTCATCCAAACTTTACAGGAATGATCAGTTCTTAGGTGTGCATACCGTCGGCATTTTCAGGTTCAATAACCGAGTTATAGTCCTTTAATGATTTTTTAGTCTAAATTCTTTATACGAATATTGATTTTGGTGTCTAAAGGATAAATACCTCTAAAGCAAAAATAAAAATAAAAAACACCTTAAATTGCTATCTTGTAAATCTTCAATTATATGACTGACATGCTTGCTTATCACGGGCATTATACATTTAATTTGATGTTTTATTAACAAAAAACAATAGCATGTATTGTATACGTTAATTAGAATTCTGTCCTGCTCCGTTCCGTTTTGCTATCATCAGGCGACACATGTGATCACTGATCGTTCTTGTCTAAACAGATAAAAAATTGCGATAATGACAACATGTATGCTTGAACTCATTTGTACGGAAGCCCTGGAGGGACATTTATTATTTAAAATTTAGTACTTAAAATTTATTACTTATTACCTATTATCTATAACTTATAACTTATTATTTAAAGATTATGACATATTATTTACATATTATCTGAACCGCGCTATATTTGGCGGGAGAAACAAGATGTTTTAATTGAGGCGATGACCGAAAAGGATGAAGTTGAGGATCAGTTACAGATGGTATGTATGATACATTAATAAGTCAATAATTAAATGTAACTGCACGCTGTTTGGAATAATTTCTACTTTATTGAAACCTTTTTGTTGACGTTAAATAGGAAACAATTTTTCTTGTTCTCAATTTTGTTGAAAAAGAAATGTCCCGATTACAGCAGTAGGTACAGGGTCATTTTAGATCTAGTATTCTGACTATCTGCGGCAATGAAACAGCGACCTTTATTTCATATATTATTTGCTCTAGGTTCCTGATTATAATTAAAGCATCCCATTCTGTTAAGTAAAGCCTTGAGAAAGTTTTTAAGTGTATTGGATTGGACCTTTTCGAAAACCTAGCTAAATACCGTTTTCCGGTACGTTATGGATTTAGCTGTGTACCAAATGAAGTACACAACACACTTACATGATATTTCTATTTTTCTTCATTATTTTACCGTTTCAGATGAAAAATATGAGGTGCATATTTTCAAAAAAAAATGTTTATAATGAAAATCAATTAAATTAAAACAGTCATTGTGACATCTTCCATAATAAATAGAGATATTTTATGCGTAAATGTGTGTATTTACTTTACTTTTTGTATGGAATTATTCATACAGAACAATGATATTTAACTATATAATCTTCAAAGAAATAACTTTTTTATTTCACTTTAATTCAAGAAAGGCCAAAACCATAAAAGTTCATTATTACACTCCCCAGAGCTATGTACGGAAAGTACCGGAAGTACATAAGTTCCATTTTCTTCTATTGTTATTTTTGTCTTTTGTGTACTTAAAAATCATTTTGCATACCGATATTTCTTCTCATTTTTATTTAAACTCATCCTCTTTTAGATTTTCATTTAAAAGATTGATTATCTGTTGTTGATATTTTCTTTCTAATGTGGCCTCCTGCAATAAATTCGGGCGTATATTGCAGAGCAGATGATAATATGTCTACACTTATTCTGAGTGGTAGCTTAATAGAAAGTTTGAAGATTAAAAGTTGAAAAGACTGCATACATACAAAGAACACATTGAAATGATACTTGATGTTGGATGTATAAATAAGGAAAAGTACCATAAGTATTGTTTTTTGCAATAAATAGTGTGTATATATTCAATATAAAATGTTAGATTGATAAATGATATGTCAACACAAAGATCACATTGTAAATCTTTACCAAGTTTGTTCTTTGAGCATTATAATGGACTTGGCATTAAAATGGGGCTAATTTTATAGCAGGGTGGCAGTGTATAAACCTTATTTAGTATCAGACAAGGTAAAGAATCACCTTTAAAGATAAGAAATAGTTAGTAAAGTATTTTTTATGCTTTGCAGGATCGTACAAAGCGGAAACAGAAGTAACAGCAGCTAGTACAAAGCATAATGGCCACTTAAAAAACTGAAAGGCAATCTCTTTCAAAGGTATGATGGAAAGTAAAATTCTCAGAATTTGTTATTTATGTATTATTTGCAAAAGTTAGTTCATTTGGGAAATGAATATGCTTTTTAAAGAGGTTTAGTGTCACCAATTATTTTAAATTGTCAAAATTGACCCCAGCCTGGATGGCCATAGGTTTCCAATATGGAAAAAACACTATAGAGACTACTGTTTCAGTCAAAATATCCTGGAAATTGGTGTAAAAGGTTGTGCTGATGATTTCTAGGGCAGTGTCAAATATGGTTACACTAGGTTACTAGAAAAACTAGGTTACACAGCCAATATGGATATACATTTATACGCCTTTAATGATAGGTAATAAATCTTGAGTAATAAGTCTTAAGTGATAAATCTTAAGTAATAAATCTTAAGTAATAAGTCTTAAGTAATAGGTCTTAAGTAATAGGTCTTAAGTAATAAGTCTTAAGTAATAAATTTTAAGTAATAGGTCTTAAGTAATAGGTCTTAAGTAATAGGTCTTAATTAGTCCCCTACCGGTTTAACCGGAGGGGACTTCAGGTTTAAACCTCCGTCCGTCTGTCTGTCTGTTAGTCCGTCAGTCCGTCCACAAAACTGGATCCCGCGACAACGCAAAAAATACTAAAAATATTTTTATGAAACTTAATATATGGATAGATGGCAGTATGGAAATTATGCACGTCTTTTCCTTTTGTTCCTATGTTGAAAATTCTGGTTGCTATGGCAACAAATAGCCTGAATTTCAAGATTTCTGATTTAGATTTTTCAGCTTTTTCACCATAAGTTCTTTATTTCTTAAGGTGTTTACTTCAAACTTTAAATATAAGTTTCTTGTCATTATCCACATCATATGCGACAAGGTTTACAACTCTAGCTCAAAAAGTATCAGTATTAACTCCCTTGAACTAAGATTTTTTATGAAAAATAGTGTCTTTTTTAAATAACTTCTTTATTTCCTAATGTATGTTCCTCAAACATCATATAATATTTTTATATGTGTCTTATTATCACTCAACATTTTTGAGAAGGTTAAATACTCTAGCATGACTATTTTCAGAATTATGTTCCCCTTGAACTTAGATTTTTTTCGAGAAATTGGTATTTTTTACTCCAACTTCTTCATTCCTAATAGGATTCACTTTAAAATCCCACATCATAATAATATGACAAGGTTGTATAAATATAATTTACTTACTAAGGCAGGGAAACTTAACACATTACTGTGATATAGACAAACTTCGAACTCAAAAGATTTTAGTTCATTCACTGGTAAAATTGAATGGCCAATGGCCCATCAGAATGTTGCTGGGGTTCTAATCGGTAGGGGACTTATGGATTGCTTGCAATACTATGATAATTGCTTGTTTTGACTAGAATTATGCTCTTTTAAAACTTTAAGTAATAGAATTTATTACTTTACGTATTCATTATTTGTTATTAATGATTGGATTGTCTTCTTACTTAAAACAATAACTCTTAGGAAAAGAGCTTCCAATATCCCAAACTGAATTTGACATTGATTTATATTTTAGGTCCACTTGTGAAATATTGCCTGAATTTAGCAATTAATGGCAAAAATATTGTTATAACAATGCTCGATGCCATTATCATATTCCAACTGAACTTGACGTTTACAAGAAAACAGACTTGATGTAATTGATCACGAAATTGAATTTGCTAAAATTGACCAAAACATGTCTGTAAAGTGTTTGATATGTTCATGCTTAACACCCATTTAAAAAGTACCTATAGTTTGATCAATCTGAACTTGATCCTGACATTTATATGGTCTTCAACTTTAGAGGTTAATTCTTGAATTTTGCTAAATGTAATGCTGCATTGTTCTTATTTGAATTATTATTTATCATTCTGAGACTAAACAACACTG